AGATTGGTGTCTCTAAATCCATAATGGTGGAGTTTCCTGATTAATGAAATACGCTAAATAATAATTTCATGAAATACGCTATCAAAAACATTGGACAAGTCGCAAAACAGACCTAGAGACTTATGCGAGTTCTCCCAGACGTCAAAAATTTGTTATATAAGTTCAACACCGGTATCGGTTGTTGAGTGGCCCCGTTTAAGACTAAATTGTTTACAGTGAAGTATAACATTTTTATGAAAATGTGATTGCATTTGATTTCACATAATTTTTCCAAAATTTTTCTAAAGGTGGGTAGCACAGAAATTGGTCTTAAGTTTGTGGGGTCTGATGTGCTTCCCGATTTATGCAATGGTGTTATTTTACTGCATTTTAAGAGGTTACGAAAAACACACACAGCCAACACAATCATTAAATATGCAAGCTAGAATAGGAGCTGTTGTCTAAATTACCGATTTAGAAACATCAACGGAATTACCCCACAAGTCCGCGGTTTCCTTTTAATTTAATTGGATAAACGTTTAAAGTACATCTTATGTTTACAATGAAAATGACTATTACATGGATTCACGTTTTCTCTTAAGATTGATTCGGCAGCAATGGGGTAAAAGATTTAGTAGTTGAGAGATTTGTTGATTGAAAATAAGGTTACATTACATATAATATCAATAAACAAAAAATTATAGCGTGCTTAGGACTTACGAAGGAAAGAAGTTTCCACCGATATTTCGTGAAAATAAAGTTTATAAGTTAAGACATAATAATAAAAACCAAAAGTGTGTTATTTTGATTTTTCGCAGATATTTTTAGGTTATGTAAAAAAGTGCAAATAGATATTTTGATTACCTATAATTTTGCAATAGATTTTTTCAATAGCAATTGTAGTTGGACCGAAAACCACGATAAACTATTAACCTCCTTATTTTTCCCGGCCTCAAATCGTCCGTAATTTATATTCCTCTTTTTTAATGTGTTCCGTTTGGTAAAGGTATCACACTGTTCCGAAAAAATCACTTTTTTTTTTAATTTCAATAGTATTAGTCGTGGTCTACATATTATCTCATTAATCGCATGTCAATTGCTTTATTTAGAATATAATCAATGTGCATTTTTAACTGCATATTTCAGTAGTCATAAAATTTAAATGCTTATTTTTTCAAGCATACATTTCTGATCATCTTAAAAAAATGTGTTAAAAAGTAGATTTCATAAAATAAGTATGTAAAACATTTTTGGTGCAGTCAATAACAAAATGATCGTTGCAATTGTAATTTAAGAATAAAAGCATCTATTACTAATATGGGAGGTATTCTTCGTGCAACTGTATCCACATGTCCTTTACTGTACGTACATTTTTCACTAACCGTACTGTATATCATAAATGAAATCTATTGTAAACATACATACATATTAGCTGTTTTAGTTTGCTTAGTAGTTTTGTTTCTAGGTGGATACTAGCTGTAAATATTGATTTGCATGTGAGCTTATGGCCTGCATGCATGACGCTGTCTTAATTGCATGAGGTAAGTGTGTATTATTAACAAAAAAATTGTATTTAATACACGTATAACAATTCTAATAGGTAGGTAATATTACGGTATTTGAATTCAAAATATAACAACGTAGTTGAAAATCTTCGAAAGAACAGAAAATTCTGGAACTTCTGTGTCTGGACTAATAAGAAAAAAAAACCCCTATTGTATTGAGGTGGAACATAATTCTTCTTCAGAAAAGTTTTACTAGAAAAAAAATCCAATCTAGATCATAAATTTTGATTCGTCGGAGAACATAACTTTTGACCAATCATCAATAGTCCAATTGAAGTGGTTCTGGGCATATATTAGCCTTGAAATACGATGCCCACGCTCCAGTTTAGGGTTTAAGTTTTTTTAACTGCGTTATAAAAAAAAATGGTGTTCACCAAGTATCGATCTGTTCCTGGTCTGCGTAGGTTGGAGCCAGTGTCCTCATAACGTCGGAGAACTCTTTGTACAGTTGACAGCGACACACCGACAGTCCTGGCTGTATCGCGCTGACTCCGGCCGGTTTCCAGCATTCTGAGAATTCTGGTACATTCTTCAGGTGTAAGCGACATGATTATAGCTTGAATAATTAATATTGAAGCATAGATAAATGATTGGTCTCACTTCACTCGACTAGATACCGCGCTGTCAAAAATAAAACAGCTCCTTAAATGCGGCAACTCATTATTGTAGTGTGTGCATGTCAATTTGCAATGATGCTATCAAATTTCATAAATCGTGTAGCCAGCTGCTCAACTGCTACCCAAGTAATAGGGAAAATATTGTAGGTTATAATTAATTTAATTTAAATTAATATGTACCAGGTTATAAATGTAGCTTATAAAATTCTTGAAGAAGATGCACTTAATGAAATGCGAATATATCAATATTTTAATGTACTTATACGATTAGGCGTAGGTTTCTTCTTCAAAAAATGCTTAGACCTCAATTTTTTTACTGGTAATATTTACTTGTACATTATAACAATGATTCAAGTGTGATAAGTTGGTCACTATAAACGAAACATTATTGTAACTCCGTAAGGAAGCTGAGTGTGTAAAGATCAATGCACACTAACTGATACGACGTTTTTCAACACAATTGTGACGAAAAAACAAGCAAATGAGCAAATGTGTTGAAAAAATGTTATTAAAAATAATAACAGAATATCATAGGAATAAAAGGTAGATTACAAAGATAAACGTTGAATAATATAGAACGACGTTAAGTTTTATTGCAAGTTTAATAGTAAGTTTAAATAACATAGGTTCAATTATAAAATACACTAACAATTCACATTATAAATAAAAATCTCAACCAAAGGGCTTGCTTCTTGTATACGCGGCAACACCTGAATGACGTTTAGAGTTCATGTTATTTTATGTTGAAATTTCGAAATTTTACTATATTTATTGATGTTAATAAGTAATTCCAGCGTCCTTGTTTGTTGTATTATTTCACTACATAAACTGGCATTTTACTTTCGATTAACACCAAATTTTAATAAAAAATTCACTGGTAGCTTTCCAATTACAGCATTATAGCGCATTATGCGGCATAATGCTTAACGTTTGAGTGTTCCAACTACAATACACAATTGAGCACTCTCAAAAGTAATGATTTCGTGTGATGCGTACAATCGTACCAACTCAGAGACAGAAAATTAACAAGTGTTTTTTCTTTAAGTTGGCATTGATCGAAATGTTTTATTTATATGTTATCGTTAGTAATATTATTTATTGTTGAAAAATTATTAAAACTTTCGTTTCATCATAGTTTTTTTTTAAAATAATCAAAGTTAATTCAAACTGTGTTAAAAATTTAATATAAATATGGATGAAGGTACAAACATTGACTTTTTTTTCAACACTGAACTTAGCGCACTCTGCTGGTGCATTTGAAACCAGCGTTCCAATTAAGCATCAGCATAATTCGGCATTGTGCGGCACTGAGTCGCATTATGCTCTGTAATTGGAAAACCACCACTACGTACACCCCATACACAAACAACTGTCAGGTTGACTGGCTCGGTGAAAGCTCGGTTATGCCGATTTTGGCATAGTATTTATTGCCGAATTAGACAAGTACGCCGGCGGTATCTAGTCGAATGAAGCGAGACCAATCATTCCTCTATGTATTGAACACTACCGACATGGTTTATAGGCATGATAAATGACAGATTAAAAACAAAAGCAAAAACAAATGCAGTAATTTCGTAGTTCCGTCTTCGAAAGACTCCTTTTTTCAAATTTGTTTTTTTTGTGATATAGCTTTACAATAACTAAGAAGTTTTAATATCTTCATTTTAGGAGTATTTAATTGTCTATTAATTAGAATTTATTTCATTAAGCTAGCATTATAAGTTTGCGAGATTTTTAGGATTCCTTAAGTGACCCGGATTCATTGTTCTCCAGTGTATTGTTGAAACGATAATGAGGCTCTCTGATAGCGCAAATGTTCTTCCACTGTTTTCAATATGTAGATTTTATTAAAATCATCAAATGTCAAAATCATCAGTGGCTGAACATAGTGAAATAATATTTATAATGGAAATGTGGCTTTAGATGTGTGCGATGGAATAAGTAAGGCAGTCTCATGTTTGTGAGAGAAATGTACTCAAAGATAATGTTAAATACTTAGACAAAAACATTACATCTCTAATCTCATCTCATCTCTCTCATCATCAATCTTTGTACCATGTAGAAATATAATTAAATTTCTTATTTAATTATATTTCTACATGGTACAAAGATTGTAAAACGATATTATACTATACACCAACCAACCAACACCTGTATTGTTAAGAGTTTAGTTATTTAATAAAAGGACTTTAAAACGGATTACTTATGGATCAAGTACTTATCATGTAGCGTATCCTAGATCCATGGAGTTACTTGTAAATTTAAAAAAACTTTCCTGAACTCTTATTTTATTATTATTTTTCTTTGTTTAGTTTTTATAATTAGGTTACCATATTTTTTTCAAGGCTGTGGTTTGATTATAATTGCTCTACTGGAACTTTACAAATATTGGTCATTGCATTGTAGAAGCATGTTTCAATGATAGTACCAAGTTTATTATAAATCCAGTTTTTTAAATCATTATACTGTTTTTTTTTATTTGTCTATTTATCTGGCTTTTTTGTGTTTACATTAAGTGATCAATTCTACCTACTGTTAGGGACTAGTTGTGTTGATGAATTGCGTCCATCAAACGCAATCCGTAGTAAGCTATTGTATCTGTGACATGATTATGTAACACATCGGCATAGTTTTAATAGAATACATGGTTTACCGATGATTACGATATTTGAAATTACTGAGAATTTGTTTTCAATTATTTATAAAAGAATCAAATAAAAAAATATTAGTAAAAGCATTTTATTTTAAATGGAAGATGTTTTTTTCTCTTACATTATTTTCCTTAAAATAATATGGGCAAAAACTAGACATCAAACTTATGTGATACTTATTCAGAATCTCAAGCGGAGAGAAATCCTGCCTTAGGGCTTGTGAGTTCTTCTAAACGACGTCGCAAGAACACATTCTGTAAATAGAAAGAAAAATTTTGAAGTACTTACCTACTGCAAAAGTTTTGTGAGAAGCTTAAGAAGGAGAAATACAGATAATAAAAATAATTTTACATCGACTTAACTCATCTTTTATGATTAAACACTAATAACTTTAAAATATGACTTATTTATTTGTTTATTATTAGCCTCTGATAAAATCAAAAGATGGAGTTCAGTAATTTTCAAAAACAAAATTAATGCAAATGATCAAAACTACTACGAGAATAACCCAAACATTATCATTATTTTACTACGTTATATAGTTTAGTTTAAGATTTCAGATGGTGCATGGGCTTGTAACCAGTTGTATTTCTGAAATTAAGCGATATCTTCAATATAAAAAAAACTTCATACATACCTCTCTCAATAATTCGTCCTCCCTCTCTGCCGCTATTTTCAACATCTCTTTAGACTTCTCCAGCAGAAGATCTTTATCTTCTATACTGCGCTTGAGATTGGCTATCTCAATGCGATAGGTGTCCACATGTTTAATACGACCCTGAAATTATTTTGTAATAAACTTAGCACCGATGCATATCAGTGTCATAATCAAGCGATTGAGTCTACCACTACATTTTGTTGTGTTATTTGGTAAATACTTTATTGAGAAAAACAGCGCTTCCCTTTAATTTAATTTTTCTTTAATAATTAAAGAAAATTTTAAAGAAAAAATGATATCTAAGAAACAAAATTTCTCGTCTCTCTCACACTTTAAAATATCAACATTTCGTCTTTTAGAACTATTAACAAATAATTCAGAAGCTTTGTTTATGGGACAAAATTCATAAAATAAAGCTTGCTTTTCTTCCTCATTTAAAAATCATCTTACTCTGCGCATATAAAGGTTAGGCTTTCTATTTTTGCATTTAAATGTTATAGAAATGGGATGTAAATTCTGGATAAAACTATATCAAGAAAAGTAGTGTCAAATATCCCACCTTATCAGAAGTGCTTTTACCACTGCCAGGTCTAGAATCACCACGTTTCTGAATTGCTGTAGACTTTTGTTCTGCCTGGAGTTTGCCAACTAGACCTAAAAGAAAAAGTTTGTTTCCTAGGTTACCAGTATTTACCAGTATTTTGTGAACTATGGCGAATCACAATTTTAGATATATTTTCTTTTAAATAGAAAACTTCTGCTTAAAAGAAATTAACTTTATTTCCGTGGAGGCGTGATAAGTATACCGGTTTTTAAGTTGTTGCATACTCAGAGGTCCTGGGTTCGATTCATGGCTGTTTAAAGCTATATAAATTGTTACAAAAGTATACTTGCTTATCTATCTACCATTAGCGGCTAATTTCAATAATCAAACTCCAGTAAAAGGTAATGAAAATCTGGTTCCGTTTCTAAGCAACGGTTGTTACTATGAATCTAAATACTAAAACTAACTTCTCAACAAAGCTGTAATAAGGCATTTCTATTACTAAAGTTTGATAATTGAAACTGACCGTATAAGTATTTATTTCTATTACCCTAGTATCCGGTGACATATGCACTTTCGGACTAAGCTGATTGGAGGGAGACTTAGTAATATTATTAAATTTATTTATTTATTACATACCTCTCAGTGTAAGTACGGTCTGTTCAAGGTCATTGACCCGGTGCTGATTGGCGGTGGTGGGTGTTGTTTCCAAAGCGTTTACTCTTATATTCAGCTGCACGTTCTCTTCTTTAAGCATATCGCAGTAACTACGTAAAAATAAAGGTCAGATATTAATGGAACACACACAGAAAAATAATAAACTATGTAAGTAAAAAAAAGCTGTCAGCATTTTTTATTAAATGTTAAATGAAATTTAAAATAAACAAATAACTGTATTGTAGAAAATTTTATAACTTTTACGGTGTTGACTTCTCGACTTTTATTGTAAAAAGAATATCATCAAAAAAGCAGCAAGTAGTAAAAATAAAAAAAATGTGTTAATTACTTAGCCATAGCTTTACTAACCTTTTCCAGTATTCCAGCTCTGGCTGAGCTTGTTTAGTTTTTATTGGTGTTCGAATTTGTGATTCTAACAACGTTGATTCCAATTTCAACACCTGTCCTTTCAACGAAGTGATTTCAGCAAGCTCTCTCTCATATTCAGATATAAGAGTTTCATTGCCCTAAAACAGAATATTAATTTTAAAATTTAGTTCTAAAAATAAAAAAATATTTGAAGGGAAATTTTCAATAGTGCTATTATTCAAAGCATTTTCAGAAGCCTAAATTAACTCTAGCAATAGGGATGATGACTAATTTTTTTTCTTCGTTTATCAGGTAGATTGTCAAAAAGTATTAGACACGTATTTTTTCTTTTTTCACATAATATATATATATATATATATATATATATATTATATATTAGGCAGATGGGGTGCACGGTACACAGATGGCGTGCCACCAAAGCAAATTTCAAGTCAAAACCGAATATCAACTGGCATCAGAACACTACAAGGCATCGTATTGAGATACGTCGTAATACGTGAATATTGTTTTTAACGAAAAGGTGCCGCATTGTTCTATAATATCATGCTTCTTATAGGTGTATTAAATGAAAGATGATCTTCGATCTTCTTTCCCTGGACACCGCTGGAACTCTTCGTTCTTTTTAGACAACTGTTGAAGACGTTATCTCTTGTGTCGATACATGTTTCCCGTTTCCCGAGAAATTACTTCTCGTCGAACAGTCTTCACAATATTATTTCTGCATTTTCTTACAAATAGGTATGCGGCAGCCTCTGTCGTCCGACTGAGGCCTTTGTGCTTCGATGTAGCTTGTGCGTCTCCACTGGCAGTTTGTGCGGTGATGACGTCTTCTTTGGTTTGAGTAGTAACCATTTTTATCTAGTGGTGTTGTTCGTGCGTTAGTGTGAATTCTTTCATTATCTTCAGATAAGTCTTCTTTTTCTTCCATTAGTTTGCGGTGTCGCCATATAACATCATGCTCCTTATAGGGATATTAAATCAAAGATGATCTTCTTGTAGGATGTTTATTTGTCCATTTCTTACATAGGTGTTCTCAGACTAGCTTAAATAATTTATTATATTTAATATTAATTGCTATTGCCGTCTGAACACTAATGCAACGTTGCTATAAAGTAAATATGTCGCGGTCTCTTATGCAAATTCTTATGTTCTCAACATATTACCGTTTAAACATTATAAAAACTGTACACAAAGTCAAAAAAGACTTTACTTTTGACTTCGTATTTGCTTTGGGGGCCCTACTTGCGTGTTCCTCCGTGTGTTCCATCTGCCTTTTGTTCTGTAATCCGAGATGCAGCCCTATGTTATTTTTACTTTTCTTTAACAAACTGTCGTAGTAGACAACTGATTCTTATCAGTATGAGTTTGGTGACTATGACCACAGTATTATAATAGCTGCGTCTCATTGGCATTTGAAGTTTAATATGCAGTACATGTACAAACCTCTAGTTAATTGGTTTTTAAATATTTGACTAATGCTGTAATGAGTCGATATATTGATAGCAGTTCAAATTAAAACAATTAGGGGGCTGGTTCCGAAGTTCCAAGGGATATTAGTCATACAAACCTTTTCAGCAACTTCTAGTGCAGCAATCCTGCGTTGCTGAGCTTGCACCCTATCGAGAAGAGCTCGCTCGGGTACAGGCAACGGCGAGACAGATCGTTCCGTCTCTGTTAAACGAGATGATTTCTCTAAAGTTTCCATATCTTGTTTCTCTATGGTAAGTTGTCTCTCTTCTGAAAATTGCTGGTATAATTAATAAAGATTTAAATTTCCAAGGTGTAGATAATTTTGTTCATAAGAACAAAATTATCTACACCTTTACACATTAATAATAAAACATGAATAGTGCAGTGATGTCTATGTTAGATTTGCCGTTATTTATCTCCGTGGTTGAGGCACCACCGTTGTCACTGATTTCCGTTACAAGAGTGCTTAAGCTACTTACTTCGGGATCAAAGTATTGTTCGGACGAAGTAACTTTATCAATTTTGTTTGAAAGAAACTACAAACGCACAAAAAAATGTCCTTAAGTACTATTTACCATTGCTTTGTGAAAACTCACGTTTCTCGTCAGCAAGTCTGGCAAGAAGTACTCGTTTCTCTTTCTCTAATCTCACCACAGCGGATTTGGCGAGGTTCATGCTAGATTCCATTTTCTTTACTTCTTGACATTTGTCCTCGTATCTAGCCTGCCAGCGATCTGATGATTGTTGTGCCCTTTAAGAGAAATAAAATCAACGTCTATATTTTTTTGAATATACAATATGACTCGAATTTAAGAAAGTTAACTTAAGTATTCATGTAACAATAAATAAAATTGTCATCATCAAGTTAAAATTATCCGAATAACATTATCCATACGCGGGTTGAGTGGCATATTCAGCCGGGATCAATTTGATTAACAGAAATATTGGAATAAATATAATTAATAATCCTAAACTTAGTCGAGGACAGTATGCATTTAGCGGCCCTACCATCTTGAAGGGTGGATGAAGGGGTTCAAGGGTGGATAAACATGGCGTTGGAGTAATAATCAACACGAAGAGAGTCGGAACATCTGTAGAGTTTCTGCCAAAATCCAACCGTGCAATGATGCTTCAGATACAGGCTAGGCCGAGAAATCTAAACATCATCCAGCTTTATGCACCAACAACGGACGGATCAGATCAAGAGGTAGAAGAATTTTACAAAGAGGCTGAAGATCTGCTTAAAATAACAAAAAGACATGACATCAATATTGTGATCGGTGACATGAATGCTAAAGTGGGCCAGGGAGAGGTCCAGGGCGTGGTTGGAAGATACGGCTTGGGAATCCGCAATGATAGAGGAGACCGTCTCGTACAATTTTGCCAGGAGAATGACCTTGTTGTCATGAACACCTTTTTCGACCTACCACCAAGACGATTGTATACCTGGGCCTCGCTTCGACATACCCCCCAAAACATAGTTCGCAATCAAATTGACTATGTTATGGTGAACAGTCGCTTTAGGAACTGCATCAAGAGTGCCAAGACATATCCTGGGGCAGATATCCGATCCGACCATAACCTGCTCCTTGCTGTGATATCCTGTACCCTTAAGAAAATAAGGAAGAAGCCTCGCAAGAAAAGGATAGACATAAGGAAAATCTATGATGAAGACATAAAACCTAAAGTCTCTAACGCAATAAACGAGTGGGCAGTGACATCTAAGCATTCGGGATCTAAATCAGTGGAAGACCATGTATGGTCATCACTCAAATCTGTGGTCATTTCAATAAATGAAATGCTTCTTGGACAAAGTGATTGGACTCCAAAGCAAGTATGGATAACAGAAAAAATATACCGGTTGATGGAAGAACGTAGGCTTTACAAGAATACTGATAAAACCAAGTACGACGACCTAGATAAACGAATACGTAGAGAGGTTCGTTATGCACTGAACTCATGGTTCATAAGCAAGTGCGAATTTATAGAAGAACTTAGTGCAAAACATGACGCATTCAATTTGCACAAAGAGGTAAAAGCCATGGTTGGGCGTAAGTCATCTGTACATCAACTCGTTGATGCTTTTGGTGTGCCAGTTTTAGAAAAGGCCATAAAGAAACAGCTATGGGAACAATATATCGAGTCTATGTTCTCAGACGACACACGGAACGCTTTTCAAATCTCTGACGAAGATCGGGGTCTTCCCATTATGAAAGCTGAAGTGGTGAAAGCGCTGCGTAGAGCAAAATCTGGAAAATCTGCTGGACCAGACGACGTACACATAGAAGTTTTAAAACTGCTAGAGGAAGACCATGTAGACGCCTTGGTAAAGCTCATTAACCTTTTCTATGACTCAGGTCACATACCACAAGACTGGCTGAAGTCAACATTTATCACTCTCCCAAAGAAAAAGAATGCAAAAAGATGTGAGGATTTTCGAACTATTAGCCTCATGAGCCAAGTTTTAAAGCTGTTCTTATCAATTGTGCATGAACGCATTAGAAAGAGATGTGACGAACAACTCGGCGATAGTCAGTTTGGTTTCCGATCCGGAGTGGGAACTAGAGAGGCGCTGTTTGCAGTGCAGGTTCTGATCCAGAAGTGTTTGGACATGCAGCAGGACGTCTACCTTTGCTTCATCGACTATGAGAAGGCGTTCGATAGAGTAAGGCATGACTGACTTATTAAGATCCTGAACGACGTCGGTCTGGATAACAAGGACATCCGCATTATTAAAAACCTGTACTGGAACCAACGAGCGACAGTCCGAATTGAGGGAGAGGAAACTGAAGAAGTGGAGATCAAGAGAGGAGTCAGACAGGGCTGCAGTCTGTCACCGACACTTTTCAACTTGTACTCGGAAGCAATTATGGCGGAAGCATTAGAAGACCTAGACTGTGGCGTCATCATTAACGGGCGTAGAATTAATAACCTTCGCTACGCAGACGATACAGTCCTACTAGCATCTACAGAAGCCGACCTACAGCAAATTGTAAACCGAGTGAACGAGTGCAGTTTACGAGCCGGCCTCAAGATGAACATAACAAAAACAAAGTGTATGGTGATCTCTAGAAACACCCATCTCGAGCCGCACATAGCAGTATCAGGCCAGACTATCGAAAGAGTGCACAAATACAAATACTTAGGCACCTGGCTCACTGAAAGCTGGGACAGCGAACTAGAGATCAAAACTAGAATTGAAATAGCTAGGAATGCCGTCAAGAACATGAGTAAGGTCCTATGTAACCGAAACCTAAAGATCACTTTGCGCACTCGGCTTCTGCTCTGCTATGTCTGACCCATTCTTCTATACGGATGCGAGTCTTGGACAATAAAAGAAGATCTCAGGAAACGTATTGAAGCTTTTGAGATGTGGTGCTACCGACGTATGTTGGCAATAAGCTGGACTCAGCGGGTTACCAATGAGGAGGTTCTACGGCGAGCTCACCGAAAACGCGAACTTTTGCAAACCATCAAAAAGAGAAAAGTTGCATACCTAGGGCATGTGCTAAGGCACGAACGTTACGAACTGCTGCAACTCATAATGATGGGAAAAGTCGCAGGAAAAAGAAAAGTGGGCCGTAGGAAGAAATCCTGGCTACGTAACATCAGGGAATGGACCGGGTACGCGAGTGCGGCTGAACTGTTCCGCCTCGCGAGAGATAAGAAGAAATTTTCCGAGCTGATGGCCAACCTTCACTAGTTGGAGAGGCACCCGAAGAAGAAGAAGACCATCTTGAAGTTGCGAGTTCGATTTTCAGTGAAAGTCAGACAGATAGATAAAAAAAGAATCGAATTGATAAATTTCTCCTTTTGTGAAGCCGGTTAAAAGGGGTTTTCGTCTTATTGGAATAGGTCAATACTTGTTTTTTACCAGTTATTCAACAGACTTATTCTCCTCAATCTGCAATCAGAGGTCATAAGAATCTAACTTACTTATGATTATATACAAACCGTTTCCATTTATCCCATAGAGTAATAGAGGAATGTGTGTCACGTCTTGCACTAATTAGTTGAGCCTGGAGTGATGCGATTTTACTTTGGAGTGCTGCGGTCTCCGCAGTGGCTACTCTGCTACCAGATGTGCTTCTGATGACATAAATTATTGTTATAGTACTTTATTATGGATAACCATTAGTATGACATCTGGTTAGTTCTTCTTTCTACCTTATCTATGTAGTTAAATTTCTATTGCACTCGCTCGATAGCTTTTTATTACAAAATCTTTCATTTTTTTGCTGTAGGTATTGTTAGCAGCAACCAAGTTAATTTTCAATTATAAAATTGTTAAATTAAGTTATTGTAATTTTTATGAAACGCGCTTTCGGTGTACAGTCATATAAAGGTAAGTTTGATATAATTTTTTAAGTTTATCCATTTGGAACACCAAACTATTGTGTCTTTAAGAATACAGACTGATATTCTTGCAATCGGTATCCTACCTTTTAAGATTAGTTTATAAACACAATATCAGTTGGTAAGACTTACATCCTAAACACTTGGTTCTTGAGGTTCTGCGCATCGAGGCGTGCGCGCCGCTCCCGTGCCGCGAGTGCTTTTATCTGACGTCGCAATATTGCATTCTGTTTACTCGCCAACTGCTTCTCACGACGTAAACGCTCAAGCACGGGTTCTTGCCTATAAAATTAGTTTACATTATATATTTAACATAATGGACTAGGAGTTTAAGAAGTTCCCAACGACAGCCTAGATAATCCATGCAGTTAGTAAAAGTCTTCTAAAGGAAAAAGTACGTTTTAACGGAATTATTTTAGAACGGGATACATGTAAATATATACGTAATGATTAATAGGGATGATGACTAACATTTTTTTTCGTCGTCTATCAGGCAGATTATCAAAAAGTATTGGACACGTATTTATTTCTTTATTCACACAATCGAAACATGACAAAGATATATTGATTTGAAATGTCACATAATGTCACGTCTTAATACAAAGTTTCCTTAGAAATGAAGTCATGAGCCTCCTCTTCCAAACTTTTTTATCTTTATCATTTTTTTGGTTAATTGACAAAAGAAAATCAAGTTTTCATAATTTTTGGATAATGTAAATGATGGACTAAATACAATTTCGTATAATTTATTCCGTCATCATCCCCATTATTAAAACCCTTCCACTGTTACCCAACTTAATATATTTGGTAAAGCGTCATTGCGATGTAATTATCGAGAGTGATATTTATATTTAGCTGATTCTGATCCATTGACGTACATTTAATAAATATACATCAATGTTATGACCGCAACTTTTATACTTACTCTGATATTTTTTTATCCAAATCTCGGTACTATTCGGGAATGTCCGTATGAAAATATGACTGTAAAATGGTTTCTTTTATTGACTCACCAAATAGCAGTCGAAGTTACAGGCATCCTCGTGAGGTCATCTTGCATCTCATGTATATCTACGGCGGAGTCAAACTTTAATTCCAACCTCTCTGAGCCAAGCTGAGATAAACCATCACTGGTTTCATCAACCTCAACTATAGCGGACAAATCGAAACTTGGATCATTAACCGATATCATTGTCTGCATGCTTAAAATTTGTGTCTGAAATTAATATGTCAAGAATAGTAAGTTAGTTTCTTTTGAATTGTCATTTGAAATGGTACTTATTTGTTTAGGATTCAGGCGGAAAGAATAAGATTTTGAATCATTTACATATATTTGTAGTTATGATAAATACGTACTTTCAAATTATGCACGGATGATCTTAGTTGTTCAATGATTGAATCTTTATCCGCCAACTGTTTCATGTGCAGAGTTTTTTGCTCAGATAGCCGTGTGCGCAATTCCAAATGCTCGCGTTGCGTTTCATTTAATTGTGATAGCCAATGTTGATTTTCCGCTTTGTATGACTCTACCTGAGTGAGAAGAAAGTATGAAACAATGGAAATTGTAACTTTAAATTATAATTCCTATATCGCATATATCTATTTGTTGTCCTTCTCTTCAGGTATTTTTATTTTACGCTTAAATAAGAAAGTGTCAACGCATACGCGTAATGCGTAGACACTTACATTACAACATACGTTGAGGACTCTCGATTGAGCTTGATATCAAGGTAATATGGTCAGTTTGTAGTAACTTCTTATATTCTGCGACAATTTTTTTGTCACTTTCCAGTTATTTGAGAGCAAGAATCAATAATTTATTTTCATTGCAGCATCTCGTAGATTATTTCCTTCCGTTATTTCAGTTCGTCAATAGTATTACGTAAATTTTCACAAAGGTAATAAATAAGATTCGCTTAAAACTTAAAGTATATTAAATGTATAATTAATTACCTCATGGCAATGTCGCTCTTCGAGTTGGGAACTCAGTTGTTCCATTTTAGCTAGTCTTTCAATAGCCAACTCTTTCCAGCGCTCCAATTCACTTTGATACGTCATCCTGAAATAATAATTATGGTTATAAAGTGATACTGTAAGAATTAAATTAAAATTTATATATAAAATACGAGTCGCTTACATTTCTGTTCTACTACTTTCTAATTCACTTTTAGTTTTAAAATAAGTATCTTCAAGATTTTCTATTTTCAATGTGTATTTACTGATAACTTCTTTGACGGCATCTGATTTAGAAGCGGTGGTATCACTTTCTTTGCTATAAAAAAATGCGGTAATTGGTGATTACGTTTATGATAACATTGGGCTTATCTTGTTAGATATGTAACAAAATGATCGATGGAAAGACTTAGAAGGGCACACAATGTTCTGAAATATAATAATAAGCTTGCATATTACCTATCTAATTTTGATTGAAGGTCTACAAGTTTCCTATTAAAATCCTTCATTGATTTTGAATACTGATCGCGTTCAGTTTGTAGTAACTTCTTATATTCTGCGACAATATTGTTTTTGTCACTTTCCAGTTGTTTGAGAGCAAGAATCAATGATTTATTCTCTTCATTAGCAGCATCTCGTACTTTATTTTTTTCCGTTATTTCAGATATTTTATGTTCTTCGATTTGTTCTTTCAGTTCGTCAATAGTATTACGTAAATTTTTATTTAACTTTTCTTTTTCACTATTTAAATCTTTCATATTTTGAATTTGTGCTTCAAGTCGAAGTTTTTGTGAGTTCAAATTAATAATGTCTTGAGCTTTTTGATAAGCTGAATTTTTCACGTTATATAAATCACTATTAATGTTTTCGTTTTCTGATTTAAGCTGCCTTACTTGACCTTCCAGTATAATTATTTTGTCATCAGGAGCAGTTTGAATAGACTTAGATATTTTTTTAAACTTCTGACTATTTTCACATTCTGTTTGTACAAATTTATGTGTGACTTTACTTCCCTCCTTCGTTTCAGTTGGTATTGCTATTTTTGGCTTTTGAGATATATTGGTTTCTAAAGTAGGTTTTTTATTAATGGGGTTGAGAGCTTGTGGTTTCGATAAAGTGATCGTTCGGCTTCCTGTAAAATAAGCATTATTAATAAGTATTGTTCAATTGAAACAGAATTAAGAAAGATTTCTATACCCTTACGTCTACTTTGAGATTCATCGTCAGATTGAACGTCTTGTAATTCTATATCAATTTCATTTTTGTTATTAACATCTTTTTTAATAGAATTGTTTAAAGCCGGTTTCTCGAAGCCCTGATTCACTAGAACAAGGGTATTTTCTACTTTATTACAGTATAGTATGAGATCCTGTCTAGATTTTTCTAGTGCTTCAAGTTTTTGGCTACAGTGACTTTCTTCTCTAGAGCGCATTCTTTCCTGAAATCAATTATAACATTTTCTTATTTCTTATATGAATAACAACCCAAGGATAGATTAACATCAATTTTTTATTTAAAAAAACGAAGATTATTGATTAGTTACGTTACCAAAACTAAATATTTGAGCTTATGAGCGCATCCATCTTGTTCATCTATGCATTTGTTTTTGGTTAAATCCAGAACTTGTTCATATACTGAATGTTTCGTCATCAAATTGTATTGCAAATTTTCAATTTGTTCCAGTTTTTCATTAGCTGCATAAGTTTTTCTGGTTAAATCTTCCATTTTATGCAAATAGTTTTCAAGTGACGCTATTGGTAAGCTTCCATGATATTGTTGTCTGAGTATTTGCATTACTTCGTATATATATCTGTTATTTCAAAGTGCGAAATTAAAATATGTGAATGAATAATAGTATGTGTTTTTATGAATAATATTAGTTGCAAGTGGCGTAAATCTGTGTAATGTGTATTTTTGGATAAAATAATTAGAAAATATATTTTAAGTATTATATTTACTTTAACCAATGCTATATTTGATTAATAAATCTAAAGAACATTTTAAAATAAAAAATCCACTCGGCCTGTCAAGCAGTACCAGGATTTTGTTTTAGTAAAATTTCAAAAGTGATATTTATCACCACGCAAATCAAATCAAAATCGTTTATTCAGCACAGTACACGGATACAGAGAAATTGTTAAACTTATTATTTTACAAAGGAAGAATAAGGGAGAGACAACTTTAAAAAAATAATGTGACATGACAGGTACTGGTGTTGATTCCGGTATGTTTCCCCAATACTAAACTTAAACCTGACAACAATGTATCCCTGTTACTCCCTATACAGAATGAAAAGGCGATACCAATGCCAAATTCAGTTCTAATAATATATATAATAAATAATTAAAAAAAAAAAAGTTTTTTCTTCACTTTTCCAAAATAGCATACCTGAATTTCGATTCATATCTCATAGAATAAATGTCAAAAATCTTCTGACGAGCTTCCAGCATTTCTTCTGCTTCGATCCTAGACTGTTTCTCTTTGTTTAATGCTATACTAAGCCTTTCTATCTTTTTATTATTTTCCGACGTTTGTAAATGTGCAACTAATACTTCACTACTCAATCTAAAACATCAATGAAGATGACAGTAAGTTTAAGTAATCTTACAAAAAACAGCATAATTTATCACTTTTTATATAACCTTGCAATGATGGCTTTGTTGTCTCCTGATGCTTGTAAGTCAAGTATTTGATGTCTCAACATGTTGATTTCTATATCATGACTGAATTGCCTTAGTTGATTATCTTGTAACTGAAAAAAAATCACCTAGGCATTAATTTCTTTCTTTACATTTCGCATACACATCTTGACTTTACCTCTAGTAAGGCGACATCTAATTGACTTCCAATATGTTGACATTGTTCCTTAAGTAAGTTGTTGTCGGACACTAATTTTATTAATTGACTCTTTAAAAGGTCGATTTCTTCTTTAGTATCTTTAGCTAAAGACTCATCACTAAAATAGAAAAAAATAAAAAAAATATGTATCAATACTTTTAAATGTAATTAACATTATCAAGTAACCATTTTTACATGATTTTTGCCTGTGTTTTTTGAAGATGAATATTTTGAGCTTCTAAAAGTTTTATCTTTTCATCCAAATGTACACCAATTTTGTTGTTCTGATACTCGTTAGTAAATTGTTCAAAAGTAGATAGCAAATTTTTGAATTTATCTTCCTCTTTTTTATCTGAAAATGCATTATTTTAATCAGTGTGGTTATTGATTGAGCCGTGAAAACATACTAAACAGGGTTACTTTCGCAAAAAATATACTTAATAGTAGTATGAAAAATAATTTATTTAATATATTTATAATTTATTAAAGAATCGGTGAATCTTGAGAAGCTCAATTTTTAGCTGTCCGGAGGAAAATATTAAAACAGGGATACAAAATATTTTTTTGTATGTTACTATAATGTATGATCTTACTGAGACACGATAATTATTGTGCCTTATTTAGGTAGAAATAGTAAAAAAACAATAATAAAGGACTAATATTTGACACCCCGTGGCGATTCTGCTTCATATTTGTAGATAAACTACCAGCAAAATACCAACATATTGACCGAAATTAAATTTTTAATACGGTTTAAGCTAAGTTAAAGACACGAAGACACATCATCATATAAATGTTACAATCAATTATAGGTAAACACCACATTTACCATATCTATAACAAACAGTAAATTTTAAATTCTTAAATTAAGATGTTTTCTTTGAAGAGCAACTGACAACTCTTTTTTACTATTTGACGCTCAATGACGACAATAGAATACTAGTTGTTGATTTATTAAAAAAATATATAGCGTATGTAAATCTTCCAAACGCATCGGTCTCTGGATGAACTTGGATAAAACCAAGGTCCTGTTCAACGAGCTCGTTGATCCGGGACTGGTTGCTGTTAATGGAGTACCTCTCGAAGTTGTTCAGGAATATGTCTACCTAGGACAAACGCTCCGATTAGGCAGAAACAACTTTGAGAGAGAAGCCAATAGAAGAATTCAGTTGGGCTGGGCAGCATTTTATAAGCTTCGTCAAGTCTTCTCATCACCCATCCCTCAATGTCTTAAGTCGAAAGTCTTCGACCAGTGCGTCCTCCCAGTTATGACATACGGCGCCGAGACACGTGGACACTCACAGCTGGACTGGTCCACCAGTTTAAAGTCGCTCAGAGAGCTATGGAAAGGGCTATGCTCGGAGTATCCCTGAAGGACCGCATCAGAAATGATGTAATCCGACAGAGAACCAGAGTCACCGACATAGCCCACCGAATTAGCAAACTGAAGTGGCAGTGGGCTGGTCACATTAGCCGCAGAACTAACGGCCGATGGAGCCGTAAAGTTCTTGAGTGGAGACCGCGATTCGGTAAACGTAGTGTGGGACGCTCTGAGACAAGATGGGATGATGACATTCGTAGGCTGGCTGGAGTGGGCTGGATGAGAGTGGCAGAAAATCGGGAGCAGTGGCGTGCATTAGGAGAGACCTATGTCCAGCAGTGGACGAGCATGGGTCGATGATGATGATGATTTCTTATAGTTTTATTTATAATTAGAATATAAAGTCTGGCCGGGGCTAAACGATGATTCCACTGGCGCGTTACAATACTTCGCGTACTCCCGTTGTGAAATGTTCTAGAGGAGTGCTTCCACTTTGTTGGGTGACCTCTACTAGTGCTTCACACACTGTTGGGGTGTGCTGTGCTGCTCGTTGGCGCAGAACAAAATAAGAAAGGTAAACATTTGAAATAAAACCAGGGGTATCCAGGTTTTGTTTCACTAGATTGATGATTACTCTGGCCACTTTTAAAAATGTTGTTAGATTTTTGGTGTTTTTGGTTGATCTTAACACAATAGCGTTGTTACCATGGTTTATATATTTTATTCAATATGTAAAATAAATACTACTTTTATGATAAAAGAGTCTTACTCTTTTGATTCCATTGGTGTTTTACCAATGTAATTAACGTTTTTCTAATTTGTTTTGTTTTTACTCGTATTATTTCTTAAAAATAAAACTTATTAACACGTTTTTATATTATCGAGCTCAAAGTATTAAATAAACTATTATACAAAGAATATTCGGTGCTCGACAGCAGTTTTACTAAAACTTGAGTTTTTAAGCTGTTTTCTGAAACTTTTAGTTATTTTAATATTATTTAAGGATAAATAAAAGCTGATTAGTTTTAAAGTAAAAAAAATATTTTCACACATATTACTATAATTTTTATATACTTCTGTCTTTTCTTGATTGTCACCTGTCACACAAAATTTAACTTGATTTATCTTCGGGACCAGTCGGCCATGAGTGATGCCTATTCGATAAATATGCTAATAATAAAGTAAAATTTTATGTTCCCTTATTACTTGTAAATAAGTATAAAAATAAATAGCGCTAAAGGATTAAACTAAATAATTCGAATCTCAAGATTCGCCCTAAAAAGAAAATCGAGAAGTTTATGAAATAGATAAAATATTTTCTAATCTAAATACTAGAATTATATGGTTGAGGAACTCCATACTACGGGAAAAAACAAGAAACTTGAACAGGTAATGGAATAATTAACATAACATTATGGTTATTTCTGATAAATACCTTTTTGTAAATTATCTTGTATTATCTTCAAAATTTCACTTTTGTTTTGCTCTAGCAATTTTATCAGATCAATATTTTCGTATTTTTTGCAGTTTTCTTCCAATAGCTCCCTGTACTTTGTAGTGGTTTCATTTAAAATAGCATTTTGTTTCCAAAATGATTCAATTGATATTGAATAACGAAGTTTATCAAAAAGATTTGCGATAACCAGCATACATTTTTGAATTTGAGTTTCGTATTCCAGCCTCAAGAGTAAACCTTCTTTTTTGCCTTCTAAAATTTCATTTTTCATATTTTCGTTTAATGTTCTGATATACTTATATGATTCTTCCAAATAAGAGCATTTTCTATCTAAAATGGATGTATTAGGTAGGGCAATAAGACCAGGGGAGTCCTCGCTGATATCTTCTTCCTCTTCTAGTTGGAGTTGTGCCCTTAGATTTTGAATTTGTGCCTTATATTGCTCTTCTTGTATTGACCAATGATTTTGTTGATCCGCTGTTTGAACTACAATAGATGTCATTTTCTCAAATAAGGTTCGAAACTTTTCATGAAAGTAATTTAATCCTTTTTTCAAATACTCCTCATAAGAGGAATTTCTTTTTAAAATATGATTTTCTATTTCATTTTGAGTATAGGAATCAATAGTATTATCTTCAAATGACACCCAAGAACCGATTTCGCCAATGCTTGATTTTCTTTGCGAATTGCTCGAATTCATAAAAGCAGTATCTTCATTTATGTTATTATTTTCAGATTCTTGTTGTTTTTCAATATCTTGCAGTTTCTTTTCTAGTTCTGTAGATTTTTGGGTCTCTTTAGAAAGTTGTGTCATTACTCCAAAAGTTTCCTTTCTGTAAAATAAAATTTATTGGTGCCATATATATTTTATGTCATAGCACCGACTCCAAATGTTAATTTGACTCTAAATGTAGTAATAAGTAAAGAATATGATATAAGTAAAGCATAAGCATTATTTATAACTTATAACTGTTTTTTTATATAGTTAATTTATTATTATTATTTATTATATATTGGTTATTTGGTAAAATAACCAAATACGATATGTGTACCGTTTGTATTTGAGTAGTTCCGTTGTTTATCTCAGAGAGTATTCATCAGATCTTCACCAAATTAATATGGGACCATCTCGCTAACAAGTTCTTTCAAGCAAAAAAAAACAACATCAAAATCGGTTAACAAACCTTGGAGATATGCGCTAACTACAATAAAAAAAACGAATTGAGAACCACATCCTCTTTAAAGTGGATTAAAAATCAAAATAAATTGAGCGTTTCTTATAAACCATAATAAACAATGGTTCAATATAAAAACTTAGACCTAGCCAATATATAAGAAAACTTTAAGGTGTGGCTTTCTATGGTAGACAGATATGAGATATGGTTTAGATTTTGTACTACTTACAAGGGTTGTGATGGAACTTATGAATTATAATTATGTATACTATTTTGACTACCTAGCTTCATGTAATGCAGTCAAAAGGGCATCTTTTCCACCAAGTGCTGCTCTTAGCTCCATAACAGTAGACATATGAGGAGCAAACCACCCGGCAGCATGCCGTGCCTCCATGGATTGTAAAACAGCATCTAAACTGGGACACTGTAGAGTTAATACTCCTGAAGAAGTAGTACCTTAAAAAGATGAAACTGGGATTATTACTTGTCTTTATTATTCAATTTAATGTTTTTCATATGTATTCATGTTGTTTTAGATTAACCACTATTATAATATTATGATTAACACTAACTGTTGTCTTTCAAAAAGTTTAAGATTTCTTGCAATCCTTTCCTTAGCCCTTCATTTTCATCCGCTATGGCTTGCATTTCCGCATTACAATCACAAGTTTTCACACATGTGACATCTGTGGATACTGCACCAATACGTCTATTCCTAAAAAAATGTGATTAGAGATATTTTATTTTACATCTTAATAATAATAATGATATTCTTAATTGTAATACACAATACAAAACACACAAGTAAATTAAAAAATGATAGATAGAACGTACACAATATAGGTGGCCTTATTGCTAGGCAGCAATCTCTTCCAGGCAATTCATAATAGAAAGATAAATAAATATGAAGGAGATAAGGAAGGGTATAATAGTAAATAATAATAATATCAATGGTAGGAATCAGGTATATCTAAAGAAGAAAATTTAACATCATTGTTGGGATAGGAAATAACTCTGAACTTGATCCCTAAACCAGTTCAGAGTACACGATTTTCGAATAGTTTCTGCCAATGAGTTCCATAGACATACATAATGCACAGATATGAAATAGGAACAGAAATCAGTAAAATGACTTGGATTTCAAGAGATAGAATAAAAGGAAAAGGCAAAGTGCGCTGTGAAATAGAAGAGAGAAACGAGAAGCATTCTTTTAAGTAATGAGGGGAAGTGGTTTAAAAAGTACGGAGTAAAGAAGCGTAAGAGTGTGTAAGTCTTTGCGCCGGTGAATAGGGAGCCAGTTCAGTTTAGAACGGACGTATGAGACGTGGTCATATTTAAAAAGATTGAAAAAAACACGCATACATAAGTTCTGCAGACGTTCTAGGTTATTTAAGTGTTCTTCAAACATATCTGTGTAACAGGTATCAGCGTAGTCAATGATAGACAGTAAAAGAGTGCGCCAGAGTGATTTTCGTGGTGGTCGGCAAAAAGTTATGTAATCGGTTGAGCGAGTTGTATGCAGCAAAAATTTTCTTTCTGAACGCCTCTTGAGGTCTCCAAGAAAAACACTGATCAAATACAACAGCAAGGTTTTTGACAGTGCTTGACCAAGGAATAATAGTTCCATCAAAAGTAATAGGAGATAGATATTCAAAATCAATCCTGGAAACGAGAGCTGCCAATTATTACAGTTTGTGTCTTAGTGGGTTAGGGGTGGGATAGTTCACAGTAAGACTGAAAGACTAACTCCAACTACTAATTAAGGCGAGATCAGAATTGGTAGTAGTTATTGCACCTGAAAGGTCAGAGACTGGTGCCTGTGTGAAAATCTAGAGGTCATCGGTATAAAGGTGATTGGAACTGAAAAGTGATTGTGTGATAGAATTTATAGAATATTGAGAAGAGGAGATAAGACGCCACCCTGAGGAACACCAGCATTGGTGGAGCACCACGTAGAAAAGTTATCTTAGTTGCTTACAATAAAAAAAATCTTACGGTTCTTTGTTATCTCTTGGTTGTAGAACGTCAGAACTATTAATTATTTTGTCAATTTTTTCGATAATGCCTTTGTCACAGTCCAATTGAACTAGAATATCTAAAAAATTTCGAGATTTGTTTTTTAAGACATGATTTTCCAGTTCTAATGTAGTGACCTTATTTTCAATTTTTTTAAAGGCTTTGCTTATTTTTTTAAAATTTTCTTCTGATTCATATAATCTTTTCAATATACCTTTAGTTGGTATAACTTCATTACGTGGCACATTATATTTAATCCTGAAAAAAGTCTTCAAATTAAGAAAATACTATAAAGAAAATTTTACTAGATAAAATTTCACGCGGACCAAGCAGCAGATGGGACTTGAACCCCGCACCCTTCGTTATCCGGGTGAATGCACTGACCATTCTTATCTTTACCTAGAGAATATTTGACACGGCCATCAAGGCCGCGGTAGCAATAATGGTCAGTGCATTCACCTGGATAGCGAAATGTGCAGGTTCGAGTCCCGTCTGCTGCCTGGTGCGGGTGGATTTTTTTCTAATAAAATTTTCTTTAGATTTAAAAATCTGGCATTTAAACGCTCTAAAAATATAAAACTAAGTAAATATTGTAATACAGTTGCAATATAATATAATCAAACCTGACAGATTCGTTTTCTAGTTGCAAATCTTCTACGAGTTGATTGAGTTCATTTATTTCGCGCACCATGGATTTAATACCTTCATCCCGGGTTTTCAATAGTCGTTTCTTATATTTTAAACCTTCTAGTAGGGATCTTATCCCCTCATCGGATTGTATAAGTTGCAACTGTGACCCGATATCAGCCAACTGTAATTTATAATATACTTATATACTTTTAACTGTGTTAATGAACGCCAAAACGCCAAATTGATATGGGCGACTTTTACTTTGACCTTGTTTTTATACGTCAATTTTTGATGGTTAGAATATATTTATTTCATATTCAGTATTCCATTTTTAAATACCTCTTTGTCCCTTATGACTATCATCTCCTCGGCTTCTTGAAGTGCTATTGATAAAGTCTTTACTTTCCTTTTCAGTTTATTAATTATAAGTTTTTCTTTATTTTCATCACTTTGATTTTTAATATCACCAACTTGATACTCGCTAGATTCTTCAGAAATAGTTTTTAGTCTCCTATTCTCCAGTTTGAGTTTTTCTATAATTTCTGCAGATTGCTCTATTTCTAATGACGCTTGAGATAGTTTATTTTGTAACTCTTTTATTTTGGTCTTATCGATGTCCCAATTCTGCAAAACCACCAGAAATTTCAAGGTCGAAAAATTGATGATAATTTTATGTACATACATATGGGCTGTAAATAACTATATTGACTTGGAATTAAGTTAATATTATAATCTTTTATAGACTCAATGTAACTGTACTATCACAAATATATTGTATTAAATCAGATTATTTTAAGTATGCATAGTTTAACAATAAGCGTATTTGATTCCTAATAAACATACAAACATTGTGACGATTCCCAATTCTTTGAGACAGTATATATACAGAGCGTCCCATGGGCATGCTACACGGAGAGAAACTATATTAAATATTGAAGAAAAGATATTTTACGAAGAAGACATCATTTTATTTGTAATAATAAGTAGAACTGCATTTACAGATTTTTTTAAATCGCCTGCCACAATCTAACGAGTCTAACTGGTGAAATGTAAAAAAAACACATGACGTATTTTATGATAACCGCCGAAGAGGTAAATCGTAAGTATTCTTTTCCTAATAACATAGCATTTTAAATAAAAGGAAGATCATGAAATCAATATTTTGTTCAGGAGAATTTCCTCCGACTTTGAGTGCTTCCAATATTAGTAAACACTTTCAAATGATAATGCATTTTATCATTTCAAAGTATTTAGAAGAAGAAAAAAGCGGATCAATAGAGATGGACTCGCCACCAAGGGTTCCGTACAAATTTATAGGTACAGAGGCAACATCTTTTTTTACGTTACTTTAGAAATTTTATTTTTTACGCTCTAGCTGTAATAAATAAAACTATATTAACTTGCTTGAAATTTAAACCATATAACAACTCAATACCTCCATGCATTCCTGAGTTGAAGGTTCTTGACAGACAGATGACGGACGGATAGATGGACAACAAAGAGATCCTATAATGGTTCCATTTTTTCCCTTTTGAGGTACGGAAACCTCCTAAAAATAACTCTACAACCTATGAATAAATATTTCAAACACATACAAAGTAAGCACTGTGTGCGTGTGTTATGGGATATTAGGGTAACGGCTAAAATACATACAGGGTGGTCCAATTTGTGACGTCAACAATTTTTTTTCGATTCCTCACACCTGGGGCTATCCGAAAATACCCCATGTATGTTCCGCGATTTTTCATAGCTTTCGAGATATTTTTTTTGTGTATTTTTAACGATTTCTGCCAGTGAGGTTTCAAACATTCATATCTTTTTTCGTAGTAGGTATTTTGCAGCTTTTTTTTGTGACATAACGTATATATATAATTTATCATTGTTATGGTAAATTAAACTGAAAAATGTAATTTCAAATTAAATTTAATTGAAATTCCTGTAAAATTACAAAAAGGAGGGAAACTCCTTTTTGTAATTTTTTGTCTTTTTAAATTGAAGTTGAATGTTTGAGTAAATCCTACTAAAAGCTAAAGTTCCAACTATCAAGCCTTTTTTGAGTAACTTAAAGTAATTTCAGGAAGCTGAGTTATTTTTTTTATTAAAACAAGATTCAAGACAATTATGTCACAAAAAAGACTGCGAAATACCTACTACGAAAAAAGATATGAATTTTTGAAACCTCGCTGACAGAAATCATTAAAAGTACGCAAAAAAATTATAACTCGAAAACTAAGAAAAATCGCGGAACACACATGGAGTACTTTCGGATTCCCACAAGTGCGAGAAATCTAAAAAAAATTACTGACGTCACTAATTGGACCACCCTGTATACTGATACGCATATAAGTATACTTATTTAGTAATACACATTGAACATCCATGACTGGAGTACATCACACAAACATGCCCCCGGATTCGAATCTTCGCTAGTTGGTGACACCTTGAAACTCGGCGTTCAAACCACTCGGCCACGGAGGTCATCAAATAAACCAAGCTGAATATTTGAAAAACCCACGACGTCATAGTATAGTTGTTTATAAACTATGTTATACATGAGTCTCTGCAACAGCTTAGATTGAACGTAAACTAAATTTAAGGTTTAGGTTAGTATCGAACTTACTTTAGGCGATGACAGTGGTTGCGATGAGCGAATTAGATTTTCTTTTAACTGAGTGTTTTCATTGGCTAATGATTCTATTTCAGCTTTTTTTGATTTTGCTATGCTCTGGAAAGAATATTAAGGTACATAATTTATTAGGAAGATAAGTCATCAACTAAGATTTTTTTTTGTATTTAGAACTCTTAAATCACCTTCCAATGTTGAATTTTTGATTTGATTTCATCATACATGTTGTCTCGATTAAAATCTTTGATTGATAGCTCCTTGCGAAGTGTTTCTATTTCGAAAGTTAACTGCGATTTAATTTCTTCCGATTTTCCCAGTGCATCTGTAATGAAATAATTATCTTATTATAAGCTATCGTCATTCGGTAAAAATCGGGTAGAAATGCTACATAAATTAAAAACAAAGAAAAATATTTTTTCCAAAACATAAATTAAAAAAAAGGGGTGTCAGAGTTTTGGCATTTTGTCAATTTAAATTTGTTGATCCAGCTTAATCAAAAGTGTATATTGTTTGTAACCATTATTACCTTTTAATTGAGCACTCTCGTTGTTCATAGTAAATAATTGTTCCGTAAGGTTTTCAATGAGCGATGTAGCTTCGGTCAATTTATCCTTGAGAATTGTAATTTTTTCTTTTAATTTTACATTTTCGTCTTCTAGTATCTGCGATTATGATATAACTAATGAAATCAGGTATGATAAAATAAAAACCTAATAATGTAGTTTCATTAATACTTACTTTTACATCAGATAGTAATTTTCGAATATGTTTATTTTTAGTACTGATCTCATTTTCAAGTTGCACTACTTCATTTAGTTCGGAAAGCACATCACGACTAGATTCACTATCTTTATCCAAGTTATCTTTGTTCGCTTCTAACATACTTTTTCTACCTTCCAATTTAGCTATATCTTCGTATAACTGTTCCAAAATTTCTTTATTAGATTTAATGACTTCTTCTTGGTGGGCTATCGTTTCTAACACATCGTCGGAGTTTTTGACTGGAGATTCTAAAGAAAATTAGCCATTTTTTTTATTGTTTCTAGAAATAAGTTAATCTTAATTTAAAACAAATATACAAAGTAAAAACGTACCCATGTGTTGTCCCTTTGATCGTCCTTTGTTTTTCCTTTGAATCAGCTCAATTTGACCATTTAAATTATTAACCTACATAAAAAAAGTACATACAAATATGGTCCAAAATAAGCACGGTGATCCGAGACTCACTTGGTCATATAGGTATGAGAAAGATAAATAACGAAAATCCGTAATACTACTTAAACATTCTACGATGAACAAACGAAAGCGCCTTCTATTTCGATGCCAACACCGTCAGGGATAAAATTAAGTGATTTATTTAGTCTGCTTGCTTCTAGGTGGCGTTAGTAGTGGTTATATTCTGTTGTAGTGACGCAGCGGTTCCTTTCTTAGTCTCCCCCTCTGTCCCTGAAGAAGTAGATCACCGATTCGAGGGAGCGGAGGGTGAGACGTCAGGAGTAGTGCTAGCGTTTAATCGCCGGTAGTCTATGCAGACACGTGTAGTGCCATTCCTCTTGGGTACAAGACCGGTAGGCGCAGACCAGTTTGAGACAATAAGAAATAGAGGTGAGCCATAAATATCAGATTAGGTATTTGTAATAGGTATTTTTCGATACTAGGCAATAACAAATCCGAGGCGTCAAATATTTCGAGTAAACATGCCAATCGCTGGTATATAAAAAAAAGCGTTTGATCTCAAAAACTGGTTTGTACAGTTTTTTAAAAATTGTTGCATATTAATATAAAACGATTAATATATTTCTACCAATGCTAAGTGATTGCTCCAAAGACCTGCTTAGATAAGCTATCTAAGCTAAGCTATCTTAGATAATCGTGTATCAATAGTGCTTCAGTAGTTTTGATTTTTGACATAGATATTGTTACTTAAGCATTTCACTGCTAGACTTTATTAAATAAAAATCCACGTGGTATATGAAGCAGACGGGGCTCAAATACGCACCCTCCGGTATCCGTACACAACACGGGCATGAAGGTCGTGGTAGCATAATTGGTCGCTGCCTTCGTTAGGATAGCGGAGGGTGCGAGTGCGAGTCCCGTGTACTGACTGCATAGTTAGATATTTTTAAACATTACGATTGATGTGCGGTACCGAGAACGGTGACGCAAAGAAATAATTTAGGGTAAAAGGAAGACTATTGACCTTCATTTGGCACTCAAAGTACATACACTTGCGTTATCCATTCCGATCTATGTCTGTGATGGCCACAATTCTTAGGCCCAGAAAGTACAGTTCATCCAAATTTTCTTTAGATTGAAGCATCTATCAGTTAATTCTTACAAAATTTAAATATAACTGTTATGATGTTATTAAATTCAAAGGAGAAATTGTTCATTGATAACTATCAAAGGCATTATGAGGTGAACAAATATTTGTAATGCTGTTAGCAATATATCAGGGTTACCTGGTCACTTTTGTATTTTAAAATATCTTGCGCAAGTCGGAAAAGAGTTTTCAAATCCGTAAAGTTTAATTCGATGTCGTCGGCTTCCATCCACGACAGACTTTCACAGAGTTTCTCTTTGTCTGCTTGTTTTAGTTCCATTTGGGAGTAACTCAATATTTCTTTCCAATCTGATTCAGACATGTTTATTTAAGTATTTAATTAGGTTCACAATGAATTGAACTGACTATTCTATGCAGGTGACTATTCAAAGAACATTTAAATTGAAAATCACAGCAACCAAAACAAAATTTACTGGCGTAAATGGATAAAGACTGGCGTAAAAGTGACATCAACCATACATCAACATTATTTTGTTGATAGAGTTGTTGCTAAGCAACGGCACTAATAATGCCGGCTCCACATTTATGCCGTGTGGGATCTACATGCTAACAAGTTTAGTGTGAACGTGTATGTGGATAGGTGTCGCGCCTTCACGTCTGTCTTCACATCGGTGTCAGTATTTTGTTCCGCGACAAAAGGTGCACAAGCAGCAACTTCTATGTCCATTTCGTCGCAGGTTTTGATCCTTAAATGAAGAGACTCATCACTACTGATGTGAATTCACGGCGCGAATTCACGGCATTGTTTCACGGCACTAGTGTGGAAACGCCATACGTTCAATGTGCCTATGCACGCTTGGCAAACTGACGGCAAACAGTGGATACAATGAACAAACACAAACATGTCAGTGTTGTTTGCTGTTTGTGTTCGTCAATGATCGGATTCATTATGGGATTTCAGGTATACAGTAAGATTCCAGGCCCACCAGACCTTATGTAGTTTGTGATGGACAAAATATGATAATCGAGTAGTATTCTTATTCATGTGCAAAGAACGTTTACTTATATATACGGCCTGGTATGTTGGACTAATACTACGTTTGATTCAATCCGCCGATCAAGCCCGAGCATAGTTTGGCCGATAACGTATTAGATGTATTAGAGACCTTTTTGGATACGCTTTTGTGTTGTGTGATTGTGGTTTTCAATTGTTTGTTGATTTATTTTTTTGCCAATTGTTTGTTGTTTGCTGTGCAACAACAAGCACGTGGAACCCACTGAATTAACGCTTCGGTACATACACTACCTACGCTCAATATGCACTCAGGCACATAATTTCATGCACTGCTGCATTTACGGAGGTTTGTGGTGTGATTATAAACACAGTCCTGTCCAAAGATTAACTAATTTGGGCTATACTGTTTTTCTTTCATGGCATCTCATTATAGTAATGTATGTTATTTATGTGGCTATCTTATACATAGCCCCATAAATAACATAAAAACCCCAGTAATGAAACACAATTGCACTATTGTCTATGGTACTAGTAGTATAAAACCGTGCCATTTCAAATATTTCCAATAATCATAACTGTATTTATTTTAAAGTGGGCTATCCTAGGAGCCGGGCCATCTTCGGCGACATTACCTTACTTGTTTTATACATGAATATGTGTGAACAAAAAATTAAGACATTGTTTAAAATTTGTTAAATACATGTATTATACCATGGTGTAAACGCGGGGTACATGGGCCGATAGATGTGTCCGGAAGTGTAGTAATAACAAACGGAATCAATGAAACAAATCATTGTCAATATCGAGGGAATCTACCACATCCTTGGCTGAATACTTTAGATATAGGCATGGGGTAGAATATATTTAAAAAATAAAAAATGAAACAACGTTTAAATAGAAAGATTATTTTATTAGGTGTGATGAGTTTGAACAATAGCAGTTAATGTATGTTGAGGTGTCAACAAAAAATAATAATTAATAAAACATTTGTGCTATAATTAAAAATAAATTAACAAAAGTAAATACAACAATGGGTTAAAAATAAGAAAGCTTTTGCATAATACACAAAACAAGCTTAAATAGGGCGAGGGAAGTAGGTAATAACATTTTGTTAATATGAAAAAACCAATAGATAAATGATTGGTCTCGCTTCACTCGACTGGATACCGCCGGCGTACTTGTCTAATGCGGCAACAAATACTATGCCAAAATCGGCATACCCGAGCTTTCACCGAGCCAGTCAACTTGACTGTTGTGTATGGGGTGTACGTAGTGAATGTTTTATTAAAATTTGGTGTTAATCGAAAGTAAAATGCCAGTTTATGTAGTGAAATAATACAATAATAAATAACACGCTGGGATCACATAACATCAATAAGTATAGTAAAATTTCAAAATTTCAATATTAAATAACATGAACCCTAAACGTCATAACGGTTGAGATTTTAATTTATAATGGGAATTTCTTGTTAGTGTATTTAATAATTGAACCTATGTTATTTAAACTTACTATTAAACTTGCAATTAAACTTAACCTAGTTTTATATTATTCAACATTTATCTTTGTAATCTACCTTTTATTCCTTTGATATTCCGTTATTATTTTTAATAACATTTTTTCAACACATATTCTCGTAAACTGACTCTTGTTATTTACACAGTTTTTAGTTTCACAATTCAGCATTTTAACTACCATACTTGTTGTGTATTTTTTTTTAATTTCATCATATTATTTAAATTATTTTAGGGTTAAGATGACAAATAAACAATTCATTTTGTATTTATAAACACAAATTAACTTAACTAACGTATTAAGAAACATTTATTCATACTTACAGTTTATTTTATTTTTATATTGCTGCTGTTCCGGCTGCACAGTCGGTCTTTAAACAGACTTCAAAAAAGGATATTCTCAGTTTGATCTGTATGTATGCATGTTTGACCATGATAATGTCAAAGCTACGGATCCGAATTGGATGGGGTTTTCGCGCATATTAATGCGTAAATACGCATTTCTGAGAAGGTTTTAGTATATAATTTACTAGCAATGTCTCACGGTTTTACCCGTGTGGATCTACGCTTGTACAATTTCCAACTAGTAGCGTATTCTGTGTAACACTAAAAATGGGAAAATGAAATAATCTTTAATAAAGTATTTTATGAGCTACATTTAGAATCTGGTACATATTAATTATAACCTACAATATTTTCCCTATTACTTGGGTAGCAGTTGAGCAGCTGGCTACACGATTTATGACATTTGATAGCATCATTGCAAATTGACATACACACACTGTTTAGGACCAAGGGTCAGCAAAAGTACTCGGCGAATTGGGATTCCTTGAAATGATAGAACTTCGTACTTGAACTAATGTATTCTTAAAAACCATAACAAATCAAACAGAATCTTGAACTGGTACTGAATCGTGGTACTATATGAACTTGAACACACACTACAGTAATGAGTTGCCGCATTTATGGAGCTGTTGTTTTTTGACAGCGCAGTATCTAGTCGAGTGAAGCGAGACCAATCATTTATCTATGAAAAAACCTATAAATCCATTTTCTATAAGTATAGCTGATGCATGCATGATTTAACTTACGTTTGATTATCGATTGTAATATGATAACATTTGTTTTTATAAATTAAAATTTTCATAAAGGGGGCGTTTTATTATAACAATGTAAAAATATTAAAAAAATTGTATCATGACTAGATATTAAAACAATGGTTTGTGTATGACATTTTAACACGAAATATTTTCATTTAATTCGTGAAACTTAGAGCATGTATAATAAAAAATAAGTTATAGATAAATCGTAGTTGGTGACCGATTACCATCAGGGGAACTATGAGCTTTTTTGCTTTCCATAAATTATAAAAAATCTTTTAAACGTAAATAATGTATAGATGAATAATAATTAAATTTTATCGAAGTTTTTATAATATTATCAAGGGGGTTACTTGTTCCTGTTAGTTGTTAAAATAATAAAGGAGGAATTGTTTAGAAAACTGTCATTTAAACAAATTCATAATTTTCTACAGTTTTTTAAAATGCACGCTGATAATTATAATGTAATAATTATAGCATATAAAATACAAAATAAATTGAATTGAATATAATTTGATTGCTTTTACATAAAATATTATTCCCACCATTCCCTTCCTTTATAATATTAAGCATACAGTAAGTATTGTATTGTCAACGTTGCCAAAATTACTCGCCCTATATACACATTGCGTGGTAGTTCTGAGTATTACAATTATTATAATGAATATTACAATTATGTTAATGTGGTAACTAATACTTATACACGGTAAATATTCATCAGAGTTATTTTATAAACTCTGAATAATAAAAAGTGCAGATATGTAGATAAATATTCTGAATGGAAGTATATAAATCTTTCAAGGATTTAGGATTATAGGTAGTTACTTATTAGATATTAATAAGAGTAATATAGATATGCTATGCATACTATATATAGCTGCTAAATATTCAAAAGTATCTTTCACTTTTTATTATTCAGTTTGTAATTTAAATATCATTACAAACAGTCGAAACTTTGTTGACGTCAAAATACACCAATTGTTATAATTTCAAAGTTTGACCTTTGCCAATGTGTACTCACAACTATGTACGATACAAAATTGTTAATCATAAATAACATTATTAGTCAACGTGCCGACTCAATACTTTTAAAATGTCCTTTTAAAAGACGAGCCCCATCTCAAACCCTACATTTAAATAAATAACTATACTAAACAAATTGTACAGGTATATAAGTATTTTTATTATTTTTTTTACAATTATACATTATAATTAATAACCGATAAACATATTCTTTGGGACGCATAAAACAACTTTGGATTATTACACTGACATGAATTATTATGTTAGGCTTTGATTAGAGAAAAACTCAATGTATCGTGTTGTTTAATTAAACGAAAACAAGAGTATGTATTTGAATAATAGACGAATTATTAGTTAATGACGAGTGTCGATTACTGTTTGTACGGTTCTATATGAAAAGTCATGGTGTAGTTTGGTATGTTCCTTCTCCGTCTCAGTACAACTTTGTAAACTAAGACATAGTATTTCTCAATCATTGCTAACTACTTAAAGGGCACCATATTCACAGACTAATATAGTTTTATCAAGACAGTACATTTTATGAAGCAGTCGAGAAACATCTCATTAATACTCTTATTTATACAGATTTCTAATTATATTCATTAAACCAATTAGTCTGTGGTTACCATAAGAATTAATTCACTTATTTTGTAGGTACGCCTCTTCTGTAGAGTTGTGCGTCATAACACGGAACCATTTCGCTTTCGGTTGTTTGAAAGCTGGTGATTTTCATTAGGTTTGATATATAATAGTCCTTATACGCCGAATTTAAGATCGGTTTTGGCATGGATTGTGCATGTTAGCGGTGCCGGCGCGCGCAGAACGTCGCGCGCCGCAGACGCCGTAGCAGCGACGTCTCGCGCTATCAGATACGTTCCACGTAATTACCTTTAAACAATAGAAGTATATTATATTTAACGTAATTACTCTAAGAAAATCATTAGTAATAGACACTTCTGAAGCCCAGGGTTTCACTTTTGTCTATTCCATCAATAGGTGAAATAGAGAAAACATGTTACCATGTGAGTCTATTGCAAAATGATGAGTGCTTAAGACTGCGGATGCAGTAGCAACGGCTAAATGTGCCTTCAGAAGCGCGAAGGAGATGGAGTATATCTTGTACTTTCAGTGAAAAAAGTCTCTTAGTATATTCCCCACGATATGTTTTAAAGAAATATAGAATAAATACAAAAAAAGGGAACGAGACTGCGAATGGTGAGGCCAGTTTGGCCATGGGAACAATGAAAAAAGCTCTAGCATACGATGAATTCCCCATGTGTACGTATATCAAACAAATCTCTCGCATCAAGAGTGGCAAAGACGCTACACAGAAACGACAAGGACTCTATACTAAACTTATTCTCGCATCCTTATCTCTGCTCTTCTCTTTCCTCCTTAGTCAATTCCTAATAGGACGTCACTTTTACCGCTTTCAGATCACAATTACCTACTTAATCTTTGCAACTCCCAATCAAGGATTTTTTCTAGACCTTTAGGTTTGCGAAAGTAAACAAATAGGTATCTGTTTCACACCAGGGAAGGTGCCTAGCTGGAGCCGTGATATTATCCATCATCACACTTCTCCAGCACTTATACAGTGTCTCCTTCACTCAACTCTAGCTCGTCGGGGTTCTGTGGTCTATACCTATATATCGCTCAATATTTGTCTACATACAATACATACCAGGGAAGGTGCCAAAGCGGCCGGTGCGCTGGCTGGAGCCGACGTACCATCCATCATCATACTTCTCCAGCACCTATACAGTGTCTCCTTCACTCAACTCCAGCTCGTCGGGGTTCTGTGGTCTATACCTATATATCGCTCAATATTTATCTACATACAATACATACCAGGGAAGGTGCCGAGGCGGCCGGTGCGCTGGCTGGAGCCGACGTACCATCCATCATCACACTTCTCCAGCACGTATACAGTGTTTCTTTCACTCAACTCCAGCTCGTCGGGGTTCTGTGGTCTATACTTATATATCGCTCAATATTTATCTACATACAATACATACCAGGGAAGGTGCCAAAGCGGCCGGTGCGCTGGCTGGAGCCGACGTACCATCCATCATCATACTTCTCCAGCACGTATACAGTGTCTCCTTCACTCAACTCCAGCTCGTCGGGGTTCTGTGGTCTATACCTATATATCGCTCAATATTTATCTACATACAATACATACCAGGGAAGGTGCCGAGGCGGCCGGTGCGCTGGCTGGAGCCGACGTACCATCCATCATCACACTTCTCCAGCACGTATACAGTGTCTCCTTCATTCAACTCCAACACGTCGGGGTTCTGTGGTCTATACCTATATATCGCTCAATATTTGCCTACATACAATACATACCAGGGAAGGTGCCGAAGCGGCCGGTGCGCTGGCTGGAGCCGACGTACCATCCATCATCACACTTCTCCAGCACGTATACAGTGTCCCCTTCACTCAACTCCAGCTCGTCGGGGTTCTGTGGTCTGTACTTGTACATAGCGCGATACCTGCCAACACGCAATAATAAATCAGCCTTCAGCAATATTTCCAAACAATATACCTTTATCATTATACTTCTTGCTTAAAAGCTCGACGGAGCAAGTGTTTTTTTTTATCCTTTCTTAAACTTTATACCTTTTCGTGTTCGGTCTGCGATCGTGCAAGTTAAGTAACTTTTGCAAGGGCTGGTCATAGGTTGATTGACCGAAAATTTAAGTCACTGGTTGATCACGGACCGCAGAGTACTTCGTTCCCGCGATTTCAACCCGCATTACCACGAGCATCAAGGCTGGATGAATTGATTGAGGAGGAGTCCCGGATAACTTCGCTTTGTTTCTCCCGGTGGGCGGAGAAAGCGTAAAGTCGTTAGCAATCAACATAGTTCAAATCGAAAGCACAGTCGTCATGATCCAATCTTCCTTTCCATTCATCCATCCATTGCTAGGTTTCGCGCACCAGCCTTGATTTTAAGACGTGTTGTAATTTAAGTTCCTAAATATCATACTTGTGTACTTTTTGTAGCAGCTAGTTATGGCGGTAACACCAAATACCACAAAAAACTAGACGTATTCCTAAATATGTAAGTTGGCATATGCTCAATGGTTGGCTAAATGAAAGTAAAAAAATATTACTTACGGAACAGCCTCAGCGTTGGTGTCGACGTACAAGGGTTCCGTGTTGTTGAGGTCCACCCCTGGCCCGCTCGGGGGGCCGTAACCTCTCTCGGAGGGCGTTAGCGTCGCTTGCGCAGGTTTAGCTACGTACCCTGTGAATATTTAGATAGATTAGATTATGTTATTTAGAAAGTCGTGGCAAAAGCTTTTCTGTATTTTTACACAAACTTAATACCCCTCCTACACCTGCGCAACGTAGCTTTGACATTTTATTGTGCTAAAATTAGCGTCCAAATTTAACGGCTTTGAAGGTGTGAATGAAAACTCCTCCACCCTATATACACAAATTTATAGTCCCCCAACACCCCATTGATGTGTGTCGAAAAAATGCCAATGAAGTTATCGTCTAGCGGGTATCAGCACGTATCTCAATAGGTGGTCACGATACCCGCTAATAAGTTTCCACTGATGCGGTTATCGTGATCATTAACGAAGTTTAGTGGTGGCAATAGACGCAGATGTGGGAGGAGCATAAAATTATAATTTTCAAAACAATTTAGATGACCTTGGTGAGTCGGCGACCGGCTAGTCAGTATTTACACTCGTTTGGGACTGAAATAGTACCTTATTTTAAAATGAGTAAAGTTAAATTAGTCTTCACCTGGCAAGGGCTGCGTGGCCGGTGGTGCGTTACAGAGCACCGGCCACGCAGCCCACGCAGCCCACGCAGCCCACGCAGCCCACGCACGCGGGGTTGTTATTGCACTCGTTTGAGTCGTGAAAAAGGACCTTATTGTAAGTGAATAGAGTTTAGTTAGGCTTCACCTGGCAAGGGCTGCGTGTACTTGTCTCTTGGCAGTACCGTTGAGAAGGCCGTGGGCGGCCGGCGATGCTACTGGTTTGTCAGTATTTACACTTGTTAGAGACACGGAAAAAGGACCTTATATTAAAGCGAGTAGAGTTGAAGTTACTCCTCACCTGGCAAGGGCTGCGTGGCCGGGGGTGCTTAGAGAGCGCGGGGTTGTTTGGTTGGGGCATGTCGCTGTGTGCACCCATACTTCTCTTGGTGTACCGTTGAGAAGACTGGGCGGCCGGCGATGCTACTGGTTTGTCAGTATTTACACTTGTTTGAGACTCGGAAAAAGGACCTTATATTAAAGCAAGTAGAGTTGAAGTTACTCCTCACCTGGCAAGGGCTGCGTGGCCGGTGGTGCGTTAGAGAGCGCGGGGTTGTTTGGTTGGGGCATGTCGCTGTGTGCACCCATACTTCTCTTGGTGTACCGTTGAGAAGACTGGGCGGCCGGCGATGCTACTGGTTTGTCAGTATTTACACTTGTTTGAGACTCGGAAAAAGGACCTTATATTTAAGCAAGTAGAGTTAAAGTTACTCCTCACCTGGCAAGGGCTGCGTGGCCGGTGGTGCGTTAGAGAGCGCGGGGTTGTTTGGTTGGGGCATGTAGCTGTGTGCACCCATACTTCTCTTGGCTGTACCGTTGAGAAGACCGTGGGCGGCCGGCGATGCTACTGGTTTGTCAGTATTTACACTCGTATGAGACTCTGTAAATAAAAAAGTCAGTCAAATAAGACTATTTACTTGATAAATGCTTACTTTTGTAGTTCATCCGAACTGATAACTATGTAATTTGTTGTATATGAGGGCGTGGTGTAAACAATTTGCCGTAATTGTCATTAATAAATAATATTGACCACCTCGTCGTGGTCGAGTGGTTTGTACGCCGGGTTTCATGGTGACGCCGTCTCGAGAGGTCCCTCCCGGGTTCGAATCCCGGTGGGGGCAGATGTTTGTGTGATGAATACGAGCATTTGTACTCCAGTCATGGATGTTTAATATGTATTTCTATATAAATATACTTATATATGTACTGTATATGTATTCTATCCGTTACCCTAGTATCCCATAACACAAGCCTTACAGTGCTTACTTTGGGGCTAGGCTAATTTGTGTGAGTGTTGGAAATATTTATTATTATAATATGACACCCTTTTCTTATCCTGGACTGAGAACAATATAAAAATCAAAATTCCGCAGCTGCTAACCTGATATTAAATCAGATAGGACATTTTGAGTAAAACTTGCTACGACTCGTAATTAAACATAATTATTTAATTAATGGATTCATACTCCACAATTTTGATATTAAGCCATTATAATCATAAAAAAAATTTGAAACGTTGCTTTTCAATATTTTCATGTTTTCTCATTTAATTTTTCTATGTTAATGAATGTTTCTTCAGGGTTATATTAAGTGGCCATTGACGTCTTGTTCGATTATAATCGTATAAGTGCATGACATTTTTAATTGGAACGGAACACTTTGTAATTACTAGTGATGTATTTACAGTTAATAATTTTATACTCGTCATATCGAAACGTTCGTTAAATAAATAGCAAGATTCCGCTTCTGTTTCATAAAGTTACCAACTTTTAAAGAGTTCTTACAACCGTAGTAGGTTGGTTAAATGCACACGGACGATGAATACCTAGAAGTCTTTTTACAAATTCACATGCAGTTATTTATAATTGCAACATTATTTATCTGATAACTTTTTCATTTGATCGCCAATTTGACGTCAATAATCGCACGTAAAAGTCAATTAAATGGGATTGAGAACTGGATCATAATTAAAAAAAATCTGCATTGAGGACGTAAAGCTGCATATATCCCTCCAGGGTTGTTATAAAAATGTGAACTATTTGTAAGAAAAATATGTTCTAATACAAAACACAATAAATCCATAGCTTTATCTCAGTCAGTCCATATTTTATAGCATAATGTGTCACACAACAGATGTCCATGGCCTTTTGAATTTTTTTAATGTAGCTTTTCCTTTATATAGTTTAATATTGGCATGGAAAAGTTTGATTTATAAGATGACATAAATTGGCTTGGCCTATACCCACCTGGCTTACTCTGGCTAGGTTCCTGTAGTACAGTGACGTAGCTGTCAGGGAAGATGCCTGTTTTGCTGCCATTGCGGCCTTCCCACCAGTTATGGTCGATTCTTCTCGTTAGCACGACAACCTCCCCTTTTTTAAGTGGTAATTCGAGGTTGGTTTGCGCCGTAAAGTCGAATTTTGCCTTGGCTCTGCCTTCTATTACCGTTGGCTTCTTGGGAGAATGAGCCACTTCTCCTTTCATTATCTAAAAGAACCAGGAAATCATCATAAGGAATAACTTGATTACATGCCTTCGAACTGGATAATTAAAACGTACAAACGTAAATTAGGAAATTTAAATTAACAAAATTTAATTTAATTTATTAAGTATTTATTTATTTTAACTTGTAAGCTCACGTTAGTAGTTATTTATCATTACATAAAATAAATAAAATTGTCGCATACCTCAACATAATTATAAGGGAACAGTCCTATTCTGCCATGGATTTCTCCCTCGTACCAATTGGCGTCGATTTGTCTTCTTACATGGATCATATCTCCTTTCCTAAAACTCAACTCCCTGTTGGTCTGTCCATTGAAAGCGTATAGAGCTCTAGCTACCACTTTTTCGGCTTCATCATACCGGTTCAGTGGTAGGATGTTCTTCTGCGATGGCGTAAAGTTGTCTTGGTGACGTCTATTTTGCATATCTTGGAGTTCCTAATCAAACAATACAAATCGAGTTAATCGTTTTGTATATTAGTGTAAATAGTTTAGCTGATATTGTCGTTCGTAAATGACAAAGCGATTACGCCATTTTAAATACCAAGCATATCTGATAAAGTCAACAATATTATACAGTGATTAGAAGTACATTTTTTAAAGTCCTCAACACAAATAGTTTTAATGGAATTTAAAGCAAACACTAAAATTAATTATATTTAATTTATATACAAAATCTATTGTCACGAACGTTATTTCTGCATGATTTTGAGCTAAAAGTTTTGTTAATAGCGCGTAATGTTTATTGTCGAAAATGAGAATGAATAATGATGAAAACTCAAACAGAATTAGAACCATATCTTCAGTCACGCATCTACTAAAGTTCACCTTCATAGATGCATCAAACGCTTCAATGTCAGCTGGGTGTATTGCGTTTTCCTGTAATTTTTTAATGTAATTTAGAAAAAAAATGATTGAGATGATGATGCAAATACCTGCAAATTCCACTTGCATCAAACTTAAAGCTTTCATCTATAACTCCTTTGTGAAATTTCCCCATGCATCTCTAAGCGATCATTATTTAGAAACGATAGCTTTCACTTCATTGTCAATTCAATGCATTTCTATGGTTTTGCACAACGATCTTCACGCACTAACACAACATTATCATGATCGTTCTCGCGCACGCGTCTCCTTTGACGATACTTTACTCGTAACTATCTGTTATGTTCGACCGCACGCGCTACGCATTAAACACGATCTAAAATATAAAATCGACGTTCACTTTCAACTTTTTTACTTATACTTTATTAACGACTACTTAAAGTCACATTTCGGTTGACAATCACGTCCAGTAACAGCAGAGGATGTGTTGTAATTCACCGGTAATTTTGTATAACGGACTTTTGTGTATTCTCGATCCGCGAGGTATGGAATGTATGCGAGAGCACAAGGTCGAATGTTCACATATTTTTTTGTTGTGAATCGTGTTCTCTTAGTTCGCTCATTAATGGCGCGATTTTATATATTGGAATTCGATAATACTTGGTAATATGAACATCACTGCCCAGCTGTTGAATAAATTACTATTCATGTTAAAAATATAAATACTGTAGTAGGTAATAACAAGTCTAACAAGTAACCTTATGCCTGAGTAAATGTTAAAACATCATGAATTTTTCAATTAAGCATGACTTGAAATAGTCAGAGCTTTTACAAAATATAGTAAATTTGTTTTTAATTCAATCTTGAAGAAGTGACACAGCAATAATATTTCTGGCAAACATCTGCATGGAACGAAAAATGGTAATCCTATATTGGGAAGGCCTCATAAGCTAAGATATTATTAAATTACTATTATCAGATTGTGTCCATAAAAGCTTTCTCATATAATTATTTTAAACTGACAGTTAACCAAAACAACAACAATTAACAACCAAAGGTACTAAAACATAACTAAATCATTGAGAAAATAACGATTTCTCTCTTATAGGGCTTTCATTGCGCGTACTCTGTCAGCTAATTTGCGGGTAATTTCACATCCGCTGCGAGCGAAGTGAAAACAGCAATTTCCAATAGGAGAAAATTTTCTGACTTCACTGCGTAGCGAAATGTATGCAAACACATCCACTCACTGATTCATTACAAGTGAGCACTAACTATGTTGATGAATAAATAACAGTCAAAATACCTACTATGTTTGATTTCTGTTTGCTCGGAGTTTCTTCGAAATTCCAAAAAGTTCTTTATGTTAAAAAATAAGCGTCGCCAACTATCTGCCGAAATACCACAGTTACTAATTCACACAATATTACGTGACTGTCTGTCGTGCGCGCCGAATTGTTTACGTAAAGCACGGAAAGTGCGTAGCGTAAAGACTGGACAGCGTACTGGATACAAAAGTGGAAATAAACTGATCGCTCGCCATGTTGGTGTGGCAGTGAAACTACAAACATATGGATAATGTTACTGCCTCACCGCAATCTAACCTCACACTGTTCTCTTTTACTGTGTGACCATTAGTGTACGTATAAAACTCTCTACATTTAGAAAAAGAAATGAAAATATGTCCTCACATAAGTAGGTCTTCGATAAAATCATTATCCGCGGTGTTATTATTATTTGTTTTAATATTTTATGTGTGTATATTTTCATCCGTAGTAGTGATTTTGCTAGTTAATTTTAATTCTAAATGTTTATTGCCTATTATGGAAGTTAGCAAGAGAAGTCTCCTGCTTTCGTCGAAGGTAGATGCTATTTCTGGAGAGTCTCTATTTCTATTGGATAATTAACTTCGGCTTATTTCAACTGATATAAAGTTAATAAGACAATATCACAAAAAAGAAGGAAACCGTATGATATTATAGTTAAAATTTTGTGTTAATGTTCTTTATTCACACGATGGAGGAAATATTTATAGACGATATCAGCGAGGAAATTTTGTGATTTTCTATTTCTAACAACGAATACCTCACTTGAATTTGTAATAGCATGCACACGGTGTGTTTTGTCACAATTGCTAAATAACGTCAATTAAGTCTGCGACAAATAATTCAACAAGGTTGTTGCTCACACATGTGAGTACAATAACAATAGCTTATAGGCCGGTCGTGGGATAGCTATCGTGTAATATTGATCAAACTGCAGTCGCGTGCCAACCTCAGTTTAACTGGATTAAACATTTGCCGTTTGACTGACACGCTAATCGCATTCGATATTGCGTTCGAGCTCTTCTGAATAATCGATACCTCATCATAAAGATTTAAGCGAGTAATTTCTTGGTTTGTGGAGAAAAATTCTAGTAACTGTTTTAACTTTATACATACTGTTTTCTTCGTATGATACATGGTATCTTATTAAAGAAAATCTGGTATTGCTTTATAGTTTTTATAGAAGATATCTTCGGAAAACGTTTGCTCAGAATATATTATTTAATCATAGATAAATGCGTCTCTGCGTTCGATTTGAGCCATCAACTGTGTTGCTATGAACTACCTTTAATGAAAACGGAAAAGTTCCCATATGTCGGAATTTGCTGATATATACTGATAGTGACAGCACATAAAGTGGCATTGTTTTTTGTTATATCAGATATTTTATCAGATTCCGAACATAATATGACTAACTCTTAGACAATTGCTTTATATATACTGTCTGTAACCGCTATTCAAATCGTAGGTGTAAGATGAAGATGGCTTGATGAAATTGTCAAAAACGAATGTGAAATTATTTGTAAACAAAACGTTTCTATAGACGCTTCTGAAGCAAAAGGTCAGATATATTTCTATTAATTAATTACACTACAATTAACAACATAAGATAAACTTTGACAAAAGGGTAATTTATTCACAAGAATAATTATTGAAAATAACGTGCAAGTGTTTTTCCAAGTTTGAAATCTGATGATATCTATATCCTAAAATGCCTAACCATACCTAAAATGGGAATTATCAAAGCTGCTCAGTAAAGTTACGGTTGAACTTGTAATATTGTTTTCAGTAAAATAAAGTAAAGCATCAGTAGTTGTCCAGTTGTTGACTTGTATTCCAATACTGCTAGCCAGTAAAGCTTCACGAAAATTAAGCGCTTCCAATATACAAAACAATATAATTTCGATTCTAAACCTCTCTTCTTTCATTATGGTGTGGGTGTGAATTAAGTGTTGTCAACAAATTTTTGGATACCAGCAAAACCTTGACAGCCTTAATAACCCTGAAGCTGGGGTGCCGGGTACTTTTTTAATAGCAAATTTTTTTGTAGTTATTACTGATTGGTAATCAGTTTACGATGCCGCGATTATATTTTATTACCTGTAAGTATTTGTTTCGCCTCTGTTCTCTGTAGAGTTTCTTCATATGCTCAGCTTGCTGTCTTGCCAGCTCTCTCTCCGGCACTAGTGGTAGGGGGTCGTGTCTCACAGGACAACGATAGTGGATGTTCACATCGCTCTCCAAGTATCGCCGTGGGGATTCTGTAGGGATGACCAATGGTTAATGTTAATACCAGGGAGTTTTGTATAGCGGCATTTGTATGATAAGTCTGAAATGGACTTTTCGTCTATAGTTGTAATCTTGAGCAGTGTCGTACGAATCTGACAAATTAGACATTACATTTCCAATTATGTTCATTTGATGATTCATGAAACATCTCGCCATCTTAAGATTCGTAAAGAAGGCACTACGGTCTTGAGTGAAATTCTAATATTGTTATTCAGTTCTATATTTATAATTTTGTACGTTTATTTTAAACTTATTTATCTGCTTGTGTTGATTTTACTACATTTCTCACCAATCTCGATAACAACTGCCACAAAGAAATCAGGAAGTCTTCGTTATGTTTTGGTGTGTTAAATAAAATCTACCGGATGTCGTATACGAATCTGACAGTTTGCAAATTACGTGTAAACAGCACAATCTTCCGGATCGCAATAGTAATAATTATCAAATTAACCTACATTAACACGGTCTCGTTCCTGTACACTAAGAATCTCGTCAAAAACACGTAATGAACATAACGTAATTACTTTCGAACTTTCACAATGTTTTGGTTCTTAGTTGCTTGTTTCTTGTAAGGCGTGACTGTGTATTGACGGAGCTATGTTGATGAAAACAATGAATGACACTCATAATGCTTAAGCACCTACTAATTAGAGCGATATTTGCAATGCGATCCTTAATGAAGACACAACTAGTAAAGTCAAGAGCTCTTGTCATAAGGTTATGCAAAATTGTTTAAACTAACTGATACCTATATCAAATTTATTTTTAGATTCAAAACATTTGGCATAAAGTTTAAAATAGATTGAAATAACTAGTCATTCTTACTAATTAGATGTGCTGTTGACCGTATAATCATGAGTTTAGAGAGGCGAAAGTTTAAAACGGCGGAAACCATGGTGGTCGCCTCAAGATGCCGTAACAGAGTGGCCATCGACGATATTCGATTATGTGATGATACGTAACTTTTATCTGGCGCAACCGGTTTGTCGAATACGTTTTGTGGGAGCGGAAGTGTTACGTATGGCTTTGCTAATGGCTAGCACATAACGAATAAAGATCTATGGTGAGTTTTCATTCTGTCATTCTTTGTGCACTAATATATGCAGGTCAGTGAGCAGCCTCAAGATGTAACCCGTAGATATTTGTTAAGCTAAACAAACGACATGAGATAAAGGTTTTGAGTTGTATTCAGACCTAAATAAACACGAAATAGATGAATTCAATGTATTCAACGCGACTTCATTTGCGTCAGATTACAATTATGTATGAACTAAGTATAAGGTATAGGTAGGAATGAAATAATTTCTGAGTAATTATTTCTTTGCTATAGCTCTATAAAAATTTGTATTTCTTTTTTTTATTATTACAATTGCTATAGTGAAATGTATCAAGAAAATTGATTCAAATACAATGTTTCGTGGTATAGTATCACCTACACGTGTCTCCAAAAATAGGTATTTAAATCATTGAAAGTGATAAAGGTGTCGGGTGAGTTGTTTTTTAAAGTAAATTGTTTTTAATAATAAATGAATAAGTTTGCAAATATTAAGCTATAACTGTACCGACGGATATATATTATTAAAGTGTATTTATTATTATTTAAGAACACAAACTGGTATAAAATTTATTGAATAGAAAAAAATGCACTGTTGCTTCTCAGACTGATGTTGACAAACTTACTTCATTGATGATTGGCAAAAGAATATTTTTAAGAAATATTTATTATCTGTGGAAAATAAAAATATATTTTCCAAATCAAATAAATACTATTTTAATCTTCAAAAAGCGCACCCATTTTGTGCGCACCAATCGATAAATTTGAACACTACTCAAATAATTTACATATTTTATGTAAAACAAAAGAACATACCTAGGTAAAGCATAATACTTGCATTAGGTCAATTAGTCTAGAGATTTTCCGGTGTGACTTCATTTTCGTTCAAGGTTTTTTTGTAAGTTTCCAGCTGTGAGATGAAATCGAAAACAGTCGCAGAGTGAAGTTGTCACAACTACTTTCTCAAGTACCAGCAATTCCAAGCACGTGCTTGCGACACACGCTGTTTCCACCTTGTTAAAACTCGACAGAGATAAAACTTCAAAGGATAAGTAAGTATATATCTTTGTAATTTTCTTGGTTTCACTTGCGACAGTTGATCCAATAGTAAAAGCAAAAAAAATAGGTTTACCTAAACAGTATTATTAAGAATACGTTCCTGGGTACTTTAATAAAAATAAAGTCATGAAAATCAGTTTGGTTATAAATTCAAGTGAACCTGACTTGAGTTTAAATTGAAATGTAGAGTAAAGACTTTATATACGTAATTTCGTGAAAGCATTTTAGTATATTTATACTATGTTTTTTATGTTATTTAACATAAACGGAATTCTTTAAACTATGTAACAGCTTAAAGGAGAGCTATAGACAGACATACTAAAATTGCTTTAAATTCATATCATGTATTTGATATTGGAGAAAACAACGAGGCAAGTGTGCAGAAAATCGACTAGAATCTACAACTATATTTATTCACCTTGTTTTGAAACAATGTTGATTAAAACGTTGTACTGTCTTCATCTATTCACAATTGTATGACAATGACAGTTTTGTTCCCCATTAGAAATTCTAAAATACTTATTACGACACAAACAAAATAAAACTGGTGTTGTCGGAGCTTAATATAGCTTACATATTAGCAGTACCGTCCAAAAGTCATAATTGTTAAATCGAGTAGATTACTTACTATAAAACAAAATACGATCTGCTATTTATTGAAGCAGTGCCGCACAAATGTGGAGTGTGCGTGTAATGTGTATTATACTTTCTTGTCTTAAATTTTAGATCCATTCAAAACTATTGTTAAATGGTTAAAATACACACAACGAAAAGTATTACGTTAAAAACATGAATTCAGTCACGTAGCTCAATAAAACTAAATAAAGGACCGTGAAGCACTTTCGCTATTAAGAAAGATTCACAAAATAGCAGTTTACTTTTCGTGTCGTGTAAAGTCACTTTATAATTGATGAATTAGCTTCGTTGTATATTGACAAGAGATAAATTTAAACAATTCACAGCTAATAAATGTGAAAGAATAATATGATTTATGTAACTAAATTAAAATGATGTGTTGTTAAAGGCAGATAGTTACTTAAATGGTGGTATTAAAAAGAAAAAATAGAGAATATTATCTGTGTCTATCAAATAAATAAATTACAGGATTCAATCGAAGCAACCGCTCTCGTTGATTTACTGAAAATTAATGTAAAAACTGTTTTTTTAAGTTGAATAATTCAGACACAAACATTTGAGTAACTATTTATAAGATAACCAATATTTCATACCTACGTGGTTAAAAGAAAAGCTGTCACAATTTTGCAGTACTTTTATTACAGTTTAAAATAGAAGTTACTTTATCTGGGTTTTCAATTTATTGCATTGAAATTATATTCAAAACTATGAAACAGACCAAATTACTTTTGCACAAAATATCCAAACTCTAGGTCACGACAGATTCATAAACTATTAGATTTCGATCGACCTCTTGCAATAAGGAAGTAACGAGAATTCGTGTCTGTAATCCAATATTAGTACTTATTAAATTTCAGATAGATCAAGTATTTGATTACATTGAGAGAAATATTGGGCAAGATGTAATTTGATTACAGTGCCATTGCGACCTTACTCAAAATTTCATAATTCACCACTCAACCGTAGCGTAACTAATGAAATAAAAATTCTCGAACAAGATTTCTTCCATGCATTAGATTAATTTTACAGTATTACGGCTTATTCGCGGTAAATGAATATTTTAAGAACAGATTTCATCAACATTTATTAGTAAAGTAGGTAAGTGTCAAATACTACCTAATAAAATAGATTTATAATAATACCTATGCATCTTTTAATATGCCCAAATAGCTATATTATATTAACCTCAACACGAAAACCGGATTAGTCTTTAATGAAATGAATTGTTTACAAGATAGTTAAACAAAACAAAACTATTCGATAGACATAGTACAGTATTTAAAATATGTATAGTAAGTAAAGCATTTAAAATATTTGAATTACAATTAAGAAGGTGAACTTAAAAAATATTTTATTAAAGGTATTATTGACAAAAATTTTGATACTTAATCGGTCAGAAACACAAATTATTATCTTGTATCACAAAAAAAATACTAGATGTTATCGTAGAATGATTAAGGATAAAGTAAAAAAATATTTTACTCTCTTAACAAACTGTATTATTTTATCTGCAATTAAATTTTAGTTTAATACCTACCTAGGTAGAAATCAATCCAAGTAGAAATCAACAAAAACCAAAAGACTACTGATTAGTAGTAACTTAATATCGATGAACATACAAGGTGATTTACCGACTTTGAAACTACCTATATAAAAACTTTAACGGGATAGCACAACAATATCACTAGGTATGTAGACTAACCGTGAACTGTCATCCTTTTAATTTGCTTCAGTATACCCATTGCTGTTTAACACACACACAAATTCTCACGGAACGACAACAACTATCGCGCCGCGCAGCACTCGCTCAACGTCGGCGTCGCAGGCGCAATCGTCGCGGCATCAACTATCGAAATGCACACAAACTTTCGTCGCCGATCTCCGAGCGTAGTAATTACTTCATCGTTGCCTCCCGCCAAAGACGTAGTTACTCAAAGAATTGCGCACAAGTTTTTGAGATAATATTATGTTTTAAATAATATAAAGGAGAATATTCAATATTATCTTCAGTATATAGAAGCTAATTGGGCACTTACTAAGTGCAAATAAAATGATGATGATGATTATGAAGATAATGAAATCATCATCTACAGAGAATTTATAAAATAACTAGCTGACCCAGCGAACTTCGTACCGCCCTAAAAAATAGGGGTTGTCCAGCGGACAAAATTGTGAATCTAAACCATTCTCAGATCCCCTTGAACACACACAAAAAATTTCATCAAATTCGGTCCAGTCGTTTAAGAGAAGTTCAGTGACATACACACTCACAGAAGAATTATATATATAAAGATTATGAAGCTATAGAGAATTTGTCTATAGTCCTATTATAAGTTTTTCACTTGGATTTCTACGATATTTTGGTACTTCAATATTATCTCTCTGAAACACTTCACCATTAAAAGGTACCTAGCTTTATTTCATTGTCCCCCAGATGGGCGCTCCAATTCGCGCGTCTAATCCCTACATAAAACTGATAATAATGAAGGGAAATGAGATTTAAAAAGATTGTATATGCATTTTAATCTAAAAAAAATAATGAAATATATTATTGTTTGCGTTTAAGCGGTAAAATTTAGGAGAATCAAAACAAAAATTTTATTTCGACAATTAATAAGCACTTTATTGTCATGAATCTAGTAAATAACACCTTTTATGATAATATGGATATATTTATGAGAAACATTTATATTAATTAGAGTTTTCTATGGCTACTACAGACACTTGTTTTATACATTCTTTAAAAAAATGCGCTTTTAAATATATATTGCACTTAAAATAAAAAATACAAGTACTTACTATACGGGAGAGGGGCGTATACATCCGGATATATGACTGTTCTATTTGTCCAATCAAAGTCATGCACTGTGTGACGATTTTCATTATGTTTCCCATTGTTATATTTTTCTCGACGTACCACACTATCGGTGCTAACAATGTGGTTGTGCTTTTTATTGGATAAATCAATAAGAGATGTTGAAGAAATATGAGTCTGCGCAGGTTGTGTACACTTTTCATATGATTTTTCACTTTCAACTTCGTTTTTGTTTCCGAGTAACTGTAAAGATTTAATTTTATAATCGTCCGTTAATATTGCTGTTCTTGCACCTTCCAATTCATTACGTGAGCTAAGTAAACAATCATCATTAACATGTTTTGAGAATTGTTCACGCTTTTCTACTGAATCATTGCTTCTTATGCTATCTGAATCGTATTTTGAAATAGATTCATTTGGACTATTCTCTTTTGTAAAATATGCTTTATCTTCGTCGTTATCTTCATTTTTATCGTCATAAAGCAGATTTTTTCTGACATACTTGTTGAGTGCGTGCATTGATCTAGATAAGGATCCAGAAGCGGGAACATCGCTAAAAAATCCATCGTCTTCATACGAAGTCTCTGGTTTATCTAACACACAGCTCTTACGTATAACTTTGAGAACACCGATATTATTTTCATCACTATCCATTTTTAATATGCACTATTTTATCCCGTAACATTTATTCAAACACACACTAGTTGAATATAGGATTTGCACTAAGCTCTTCACATTATAGATACCACCTTTTATCACAGAATAGTCAGTAACTGATAACACAACCTAGGTACTCAATATTATTTCATTGCTTGTTTATTCTTTATCACTACGTAGGTATCGCTGAAGTAGGTGACTTAAATAATGACAACGGAACGCGCGTAAGAAATGACTCGAGCTATTTATTACTTAGAAAAAAACCAACCCGACAACTTTTAGCGAACCAATCAAAATGAACGACGCAAATCTTGAATTGGTTGATTTAAACAATCAAACTTAAGACATGACATGGAACTGTAATACAAGCTTTAGGTGTTTGATAACTTTAACTTATGTATTGACTGTGTTGATATAATATTAAAATGTTATTCTTTTATGATTATATTTTGGCCCAAGTCAAGACTACGTGTGTCAGCGTCAGCGGTCAGAATAAATTAAGGAGTGCGATTATTTCAAACAAAGGCTATTGTTTCGTTTTTATTCGCATAGATAATATAGACATAATTGCAATGTGTTTCTGGTAACTCTCATTTTATCCAACGGATATCCCACGCGGAAGGAAAGTAAATTATTCATAATAACCATAAAGTCGAATGTTTGAATTGAATTTGACTGTTAAAGATACCTATTCGATATTCTAGTAATTTGAAAATAATGATTCGATTACTTAAAGTCATTTTTTATATAGTTCTAATATATGTATATGAATTTAACGTAAACCTTAATTAAATACTTGCCTGTATCTGAATAGCTCCCGTATGGCGTTCTGCGTGGAGGCTCGGGTGCTGAGTCGGTCTCTATTAGAGTATATAATAAACAATGCAATAAAAACCGAATAAAAAAAACAATTAAAACAATAGTCAAAGTAATATTGAAAACGTTATGTTTACGAAATTATACAACAATTATAAACGTCCAAAAAAATAAAGTCAAAAGGCAGAATTTGAAATTTGAACATAATCACAATCACGCAACAGAAGCACGCACAGTAAGCATGAAACACATAACGTGCATCAATAAAACTTCGACAAGTAAAGCATTTTGCTCATGTTACTCCAAATTTAAATCAGGTATTTTATGCATTAAAAATTTATATTTTTCATATAAGATAATAGGGAAAATAACCTTGGAATTTGACGGTATGTCGCGATGGCGTGACATAAGGTGCGAGGCGGTAGGGCCACGAAGCCGGCGGAGGCCGCGGGGGAGCACGTGGTGGCTCGTAGCGACTGGCCGGGCGATGGACAGACGGATCATACTCTTGTTTAGCAAATACATCATTCTTCAGAATAGAACTCAGTTTTACGGAGTTGTCCTTGGCAATGGGACGCTTGATATCCTTCTTAATAGGTGAAGTACGACCTCTGACAAGCGTGGCAGGATCCTCAATAGATCTATTATTATCGCTTCGTTTTGGAAAACGATGAGCCACCCATGGTCCAGCTAAATACGGCGCAATATCGCGTAACTCGCTCATATCTGGTGCTGATGCGTATATCTGACCTAGCAGTGACATTGCTTCGAATCTGCGCCGAATACGATCTACTTCCCCTGAACGACATTCTAATGCTTCTTCTGCAGATCGCGATCTAGGCGTCGTACGTCGACGAAGTGCTGCTAATTTTGATATGATATCGATGTGTGGCATATAACGATTCGTTGGTCGTAGTGGCACTTTTGCTACAGGTAATAAGTTTCTATCTCGTCGAGATGAATATCTTTCAAATTTGGACCAATGTTTTTGAAGGACATTTCGAGCAATTTCCGGATCACTGCGATGTCTGCGCAAAACTGCTCCAGCGGCAGAGGGTGAGTCAAAACGTCGCGCGAGACGTCGCACTTCTCCAGCCCGCGCCAGGTTTAAATAAGCGCGCCAGTAACGCTCCGGATCGGGCGACGGGCTTCGACTGCGCCATACTGTCTCCTCGCTCGAGCACTGTAGCGTGTCCGGCGTACGTCGATCGGTAGCAGCAATTTGTAATTCAGAATGAGGCGACGGTGATCTTGTATAAATTTCCGGATTAGAAGATAATGACAAAAACTTATTTTTCTCGCTTTCCCCGAAAAGTTCTTTAAAATTTGTACAGGATTGGGATTGAGGTATATGTTTTTGGTAAGTTTCTCGCTCATTATTGTTCTTTGGTACAGATGATAAAGGTTTTGTTGGCTCCAGATTTTGTTTCTCATCTGAATTTTCTCTGGCATGATAAACAATATTTGATTGTTCAGTCGTGTTTTTTACTGATTCAAAATACTCGACTTTTTTTTTAACTTCTTTACTAGGTTCTCTATAAATTACCGTTTTGTTTGATATATCTGAACTTGCAGTGTCTGTTTCACTTGCTGATGACTGATAAAGACTATCAGGTTTATCATTTGAATAAACTACATGTCTTGTTTTAACATCAATATTAGATGTATGTGCAGAGTCAGGCTGATCTAACAAACTATTTTCGCTGCAAGTTTTTTTTTCTAAAGAAATAGTTTGTTCTTGTTTCTTTTCAGAATCATTTTGATTATTTTTTGCGCAAGATTGTAGTTCATCTTTGAGAGTCATAGGTACAGAGTTATCAAATTTATTAATTCTATCCAAAATTTCTTTGCTCAGGGTTTGAGAAATTTTTCTTTTTTCATTTTCGCTAAGAGACATTTGTATTTTATTAACATTGTTTTTTAATTCTTTTACTGAAGTTATAGGACAAGAAATTGTTGCAATAGACTCAGATTTGCTAAGTCGATTAGGTTGATCTACCTCAGACGTGTGTTGCGGTGAAACCAGTGAATTACATCTTACGTGAAGACTGGGTTTATCAATTTTAGAATTGCTTACATCTATCGAAAATTTATCTATTTCCTTGCTTGTTTTTGCTTCCAATTCTTTACTGTAAATCGCATTTAGTTGGTTTTTTAAAGCATTCACTTGCTCCATGGATAAACTACTCCACAAACGATTTCCGAGTCCTATTTTTTTTCGAAGTTCTGTTAGTGAAGTATCTTGCTGTAATGTAACAGTTGGTTTAACTGCTAACCGGTGGTCATCGTTCACTTCATTATCATTTTTGCGGTTAATTTTGAATGCTGTTTCAGCGACACTAGTTCCTCGCCATAAAGGTTTATAGGTATCCTTAGGGATTTGATCCATTTCTATAGAATCATGATAAGATATCTGTTGGAAATGATCCTTTAAATCTTCTACCGATTTTTCTTTTACTCGAAGTCCCCATTCTCTATCAAAATTCCATCTGAATTCTTTAAGATCTCTAGGGTAAAATAAAACATCTTTTTCATTTTGTGCCATCCTTAATTTACAATACAAATTATTTAATTCCTCTTCAGCTCTTTCTATAGCTCTAATTTTTTTCCATCTATCAAAATCAATTATCTCTTCGTCTTTTTTTCTGTGGCGTATCTCAGAATTACTTGTGGCCTTTTCTAATTCTCCAACTCTTTCTAAGTACGTATAATATCTGTTTAGCTCTCGGAACCTGTCAGATCTTGCTTTGGTATTTTGTATTTCCTTGATGTACTCTTCATAGTCAGGATCATTAGAATATAAATTTGAATCGCTTCTAGCTTTAGATGGCGCGATACTGTCAAACTTTTTTTTATCTGTGTCTCCAGCACTACGAGTTCTCAGAACACTTTTAAGAGTATCTACAGACTCTCCAGAATACTTGATGTTTTGTGATCTTACATTGTGTATACGCCGGTAGGAAGGAGACCTTATAGTGATCGGAGAAGGTGATTGACTGCGACTTCTAGATTTTCTTAACACTTTAGGAGATACCGGTCTCGAGGTCTGCGAGAAAAAAATTGTCGAGGGCTGTTTTTCTAAGTCTTGTTTAATTTCATTTTGTATTGACTTTGGGAAATGCTTTGTCACTATTGGCGACACAGGACGAATAGTTTCCCTAAATATTACTTTACTTGGAGATTGGGAGCGACTTGTGTGAGATAACCTTTTAGGACTTTTGTGAACAATAATCGGAGAAACTGATCTAGTTGTTTGTGAGAAATATAAACGCGTTGGTGATATCGAAGTTCCAGGAGATTCTCTTGCCTTTTCTTTTTTGTAAAAGACTATTGTCGGTGAAATGGGGCGAGAAGTTTGTGAGAAATAAATTTTGTTTATAGGCGGTTCACTTTTACTTCTTGTAGTAGCTAAAGATGACGTTGATCCAAACTGTTCACCTTTTGATAAACTCTCAAACTTTCGTATTTCACCGTGCATTCGCCCTGGCCAGGATATAGAACGTGGACTTTGAGCACGCGCTGGACTTGGGTATCTGTCCCATAATTTAAATCGCGAGAGAGAAACTGGTTTTCTATGAATCAAATAAGTATTCAAAGATTTCGATTCCTTATAGTCTTGCGGGTACGACTGGAACATTTTGGCTTTCTGTAAAACAGTTGTATTTGGCTCAAGCATGGTATAAGTAGTGGTTGGAATGTAAGACCCACCAAGGAACAGATGTTGAAAGAAAGAGTCAGACATAACTGCGTCTCTAGTCTTTTTTATATTATCGACTGAATTGTTAATTGCATTATCGTATATAATATTGTCTCCAAATTGACTTTCTGTTTCAGAACCAACTGGTGATTTGTTTTGTGATTTTTTAGAGGCTTTTGTAACTTTCTTTAGAACTTTGGTGTCTTTAGGAATTTTTATACTGCATGATTCATGACATGGTACACTACGAGGACGAACAACTACACTTTCCAACGATTTTTTCTTTTTTAAGTTTGTTACAACAGCAGTTTTTATTTGATGCTTTCTTGTGGAAGACAGTATGTTGGATGAAGATTTAGATAGTAACGATTTTTGTAATGGTTTCAAGGTTTTAGTTTCGCCTTTAATTGTCAGACAAGGATTGGATTTAGTGTGCGTATTAGATGTTTTCAATTGCCGGACTTTCTCAGCAGTACGTATCATATCTCTACTTTTGTGAGTTGTACTTGGATTTAATTGTCTTTCTTTATCAGCTCCTATTAATATAGGAGCCTTTGTTATAGTTTTAGGCGAAATAACTCCGCTCACTCTGAGACCTTTGACTTTTACTTTTGTTAAATCTATTTGTTCATTTCGTTTTTCTGAACTCCAAAGCTTATCCAAGGAAGTCACTTTGTCCAATATATTTGTTATTGGGGTTTTTCTACCAGCTCCGCCTTCTATGATAATAGACGCAGGCGACGTACCGTATTTACTGTGCACCGAGTTAGTATACTGCGTCGGCAATAAAGTCTTCCTTGGTGAGCTAAAACTGCTAGTTCCAGCAGTTTTAGTGTCAGATGTTTTTTTCGATGAATGTGAAGCAATGTTTACGCTTTTTCTATTTACATCAGGTGGGGCTGAGATAGACATTATTCTTGATTTATCAAATTTCTTTCCTGGATCTACTGTCGAGTCCTTCTTGCTAATGATGTGGGTATTTTGACGGGTTAGTTTATGGCTAATTTTATCCTTTAAAAAATCCACATTTGACTGAGTTTGTTCAAAAGATCTTTTTGGAGAAGTTGAAACAGATCTATTTGAAGTAATCAATTTCAATGTCCTGCTGTTCTTAGACGATATTCTTCGTGGTGGAGCAGGAGGGTTTTCAATAATTTCAGTTGGTATATTGACACATATAAATGATGGTGCCAGTCTTTTAAATTTTGCATCTTGTTCTATGCTTGTTACTGGGTAGCAAATTACTTCATGGTGCTTTGGTGATTTTTTGTGAACTTTTATCTTCGTTAGAGTTGATGATATCGGAATGTACTCTAATACCGATTCCTCTGCGGATTTCAATGACTCTTCAATAAGTTGCGTTTTAGATCCATGTTAGATGTGAGAAAAACGTGTCTCTTGTGCTCCTGCAAAGTTGTGTCTATCAAAAGCATTTGGTTTTCTAAGTGTCTCTACAAAAGTGGGGCAGCGAATCAATAAACGTGTATAATATGTGCCTGTTTAATTTAATGTTGCATGAAATAGGGTTACCTATTTCATGCAACGATTTACCTGATCGTGAAGCCCAGCCGTACGCCCAGCACCCGTTATTGAATGGCAGCAGCGCATGCATCGACTTTAATTTCTGACTTACCTCGTGTGTGTTTGGTTATAAACTAAATTATCCGGAGTGTAGAGAACCACGCGTCATTACCGTGTCATCATTCATTATGTGTGTAGTTAGTGACCCTGAGATTTTCCCCAGTGTATAAAATGGTAGCCGTTACATTAATAGTGTATGCATTGATCGCCCTTGACCGGTATTATCATTGGAAAATTTAAATATGCACTGCTTTATTAACTTATTGATAGGTCGAATAGTTATATCATATAATACGCATCGGATTTTTATGGATGAAACGTATTTTTAAGCGATAAAATGTAGCTTAATACACCCAGAAATAATGTTACTTTCTACTGGTGAAAGAATTTTAGAATAACATATAAACTTTACCTTCATATAAAATGTATTACTATAGATAACGGTCTGTCTTACAATGCAGCGTTCATTGTTATGATTTCTCTTTTATAAATATTTAATATTTTATCAATTACATAAAACCAAATTGCGAAATTTTGTAGGACTAATGTAAAACAATAGACGATTGTCAAAATATTGGTAGCTTTCAAAATCATAAAAGTAGTTGTTAATAAGATTAATCACCGACACCGAATGTAACGCAAGCGTCATGCAGATAAAATAGTTCATAATTATTTAAGAATCACATAATCGAAATTTAATGGCCTAATTTGTAGGCGATATTCAAAAAACCACATTCTAAACAAATATTTATATTCAATAATTAATTTATTTTTGATTAATGAATAGAGTGAATATTAAAACAGATCATACTCGATACATTGAATATGATTTCGTAGTTTTTCTTTTTAATTTAACATACTACATATATGTATAATATACCCAATAGCAAATAAATATCCCAAATAAGCATTTAGGTACCGATGAAAGGAAAAACCAATAACCAATAAAAACTATGCAATTTACACTATCCTGTACTTTTTCCTTATATCCACCAGGAATACTAATACCTACCCATTATTTTATATTTATTTATATTTTTATGTTTACACTGTCCCCTATATTTTGTTCTACTGATCTATTCAGAATAATACATATTATTATCCCTTTGTTTTGATTTATATTTTTACTAGATTATTTTAGGACGCGTACCTTGTCTAGGTGGCGCTGGTGAGCGGAAACCTCGGAGCGGGGGTTCCCCGCCAGCTTGTAGGTCTCTGTATGCTGCGCGTCTCTCCGCGGGGGATAGAGGTCCATCGCTGTCCTCACGACGACGGAACACGAGGGTAGAGTCCGATTCGTATCCAGACTCCTTCAATGCTCTAAAAGGCATTACTCATGTAAGTTGCCGAACTTTAAGATCACAGAATAAAAAAAAATATCAAGTCGTTTTTTTATTAGACTACCTTGGTCTAATTCCATGGCAAGTGCAGTACTTGCTATGGAATGGAAATGTTATGAAAACTGCAATAACGACGGTATCACATAAACTCTATAAACACATATATTTATATATTTTTGGATGATTCCAGAAGAGAAAATCTTTTTTTAACAAGTATTTTTTTATTATAAGTTTATTTTTTAAGCATTTAACTGCTAATTGTATAATTCTTAAGAAATTTTAACTCCAAAAAGTATTATAATTTAAGCATGTAATTGTTTGATGTTTAAAACTTAAGAAAATATAACTATAAAAACATCCACGCTGACCAGGCAGCAGACGGGACTCGAACCCGCACCTTTTTTTTCTAGTTATACTTTCTTTAGAAAAAAAAGAAGTTTATTAGACTAGTGTCCTAAATGTAGAGATGGGAATATATTTTCTTACCTTGCCATGTTCGATTTTGATAATATGGCAGAAGTAATATCCTTTTTTTCTTTGGGAGAAGATTGTGGTAGTGATGTGGTACTTGATATGTTTTGCTGTAAAATCAAATATATTTAGAGATATTGGTACATAATTCCGATTAAGTTTCTAATATTTCGATAGGAGTTCATGCTTAACTAAGTTAATTTGAAAGCGATAATGCTAACTTGCATTCCGAATAATCAATTACTTTCATGCTAACAAATTATCAAAATGTATGTATCTTATTTACAACTTGGAATCATCATCTTGTCCAGTTTTAATGGAGGTATTTGATCTTTAAATAAAAAAAGACTTTCATAATATAAAACATAATACATTAAGCTAGCTAGTCTATACAAAGTTATTAGATTTTATCGTTATAGTTAATTATGCGAAGACTAATTTCAATATCACATGACATTATACGTCTAACAGGATAGTTACTTAGTAATGTCATCAATGCGTTAATCATTTGAATTAAATGTAGAATAAGGTAATACATACTCAATATTTATTTACAAACAATACAGAAAATTTTAGCATGCGTATGATTCCCATAAGATATAATGATCAAAGAAGTACGTAAAACACAGCTAACAGCCACTTCATTTTTTCATATTTTTAGATGTAGGATTTATTTGTATGTATTTCAACTAGAGTCCGACCGAAACTGGTTTTCCGGCCGAAACCGAAACCGAAACTCACGTGGTCAAGATTAAAATTCCTTAAAATACTGAAATTTGGTGCATTTTACCCATTATTCAGAATTAATTAGGACATGGAATGGAAACACAGTATATTAATATTGTTGTAGGTAAGCATTTATTAAATATTTCGTAGACTATGTGTAATATAAAAAAATATTAATAATATTTTTATTATTTTTTCAAATTAAATTCTCATAGCAAAATTTTTATCAGTTATCAATAATCAATTCACAAATTGTTACTGTTTCATTAAATGCCCATCGGTATTTTGAAATCTTATAAATTAATACTTTGGTGTTTGTATTTGTACTCAGAAGAATCATCAATCTCTTTTATCTCAATATAGGAAACTGCACTTCTCAATATAGGTTATGGAATGCTATGCGAGAAACGAAGTAAGGCGAGCGTGCACGACAATTTCCGAAATCAGTTTTGATTACGGCAAAATTTTTGGCCGAAACTCGGCCGAAACCGAAACCGAACTTTCGGTCGGACACTAATATCAACCTCGCTTAATAAGGATGATGACTTTTTGTTTTATCTATCGGGTAGATTGTCAAAAAGTATTGGACGCGTATTTTTGCTTTATTCACATAATCAAAACAATACAGAGATATCATATTGATTTGAAATTTCGCATGACGTCAAGTCTTGGTACAATTTTTAATTAGAAATGACGTAACGAGCCCCAACTTCCAAGCTTTGACGCTCTTTATCTCTATGATTTTTTGGTTGATTGGAAAAAAATGAGTAAATTTTCTTTGATAAATAAATTCACGTATATCTAAATAGAATTTAATTTACTTTATTTACCCCGTCATCATCCCTATTAGAACTCTCAGAAAGTTTTCTCTTTTATATTTTTTGAATGGTAGCTACGATTAAATAAAAAATTATGTGATTTAAATTAAGAATGTGGCGGTAAGCTAAGTTTGCCGAAACCACCGCATCAAGGCAAACATCGAAGGCAGCACACAGCACAGACAATGCAAACGACACATGTTAAGGGCCTTACACTCTTTTGAATGGCGCGAGCGAGCAATGTGGTGTAAGGGGGCAGGGGGGAGTTGTCATCTAGCCACTGTTAATGCCACCACCACGCACCAGACAGCAATGGAAAACACCGTTAGTTACCACCCGAATAATACAAATGAACTCGATAAAAACAACTAGCGCCTGATAAAATTTCGTTAGCACACTCTCAGATATGTATGTTATCACAATATTTTATTTATTTATTAACTCAACAAATTGACGTTTTAATACAGAGCGGTTGTTCATTAATAGGTACGTGTTTATCATTCCATGACACTGCACTGGACGCAGGCAAAAGAATGATGCAGGTTTTTAGATATAGGTTTATCTACACTGTTACATTTAAAACTAAAATAACCTTTTCCTTTTTATAGCTTGGAATTAATGACTTATACAGTTTTTATGAACGAAGGAAAAACTTTATATAAATTGTCGAAAACAATTGTCAATATAATTTATGTTAGAAACCACAATGACACACCATGAACTAGTAAAAAAAAGGTTTCGTACCCCATCAAAAATGTCCATGACCTCGTCCCACCACTAGAAAGGAAAAAAACCATTTGTTGTTGCTTTTCTTGTGGATTGTGATATGATGTATGATCATAATTAGTTATGATGGTTAAGGGTTGCCAATAATTCTTTTATTTCTCCATGAATAAATTTACTCTCTACCCGAAGAACTGTCTCCAGTCAGTAATGAGGGTGAGCGCCTAAGATAGGTTCTCATATTAAATACACGTAGGGTCAGTTCGCCTGTTCGCGTCCATCGCCCAATTCGCGTCCATTTTACGGATCACCCTTAAAAAATCCTCAAAAATAAGTAAACTAACACACCAATCAAACGAGAAGTAATTACCGCTAATACCTTAATATATAAGAGGCACGAACACATGGTCAAAAGTTAGGTGCGCCAAACAATCCCGTTTAAATAAAATAATTAGTCTCGGTTATTCATCAAGGGAGTGCGTACACGCGGGATGTTTAGATAAAAAATAGAGTGCAGCGGCGCGTTCGATGGTAAGTTATTTATTTTTTTATGTTAATTTTAGGATATATAGCTGTTTCTAGACTTTTATAGTGAAGAAAGGAATGATAATAGCTGTTTCTAGACTTTTATAGTGAAGAAAGGAATGATATTAATTTTAAATTTTCTTATGTTTTTCATATTTAATGAATAAAATAAGGTGGACGCGAATTACTACATCGAAATTACAAAACTTCTAATTTGCGTCCGCAATGGACGCAAACTATACCTACAGGGGATAATAGTAAACCAAATTGCGTCCACTATTATCGTTAAATACAATTAATTAATTATAATTTAAAATATAGGTATTGATTATTATTATTATACATTTTTATAAAGACTACGTGTTTTTAGTGACATCGTAAATGAGTAATTTCAATCAATCAATCAAATACTTTATTTGTTTCATTCTTTTTTTTTCTATTTGAGATGCGTTCTTCGGAGACAAGAAAGTAGAAGGAAAAGAGAATATAAACAGAAGACGATTTAAAGAAAGTCGATAAATGAAATTCGAGAAAAGAATAAATCGGTTAGATTTATCGATATTGTAAAAAATCAGTGGGTGCAGACCAAATGAAGTAAAGAAACCGGGACCAGACACCACCTGATGCTACCCGAAATTTCTAACAAAGCACGAAAAGATAATCAAAGAACTCTAGCAACCATATCTTCTGCTGCATGGAGTAAGCATTAAGAAGATAAAGAGCAGATCAAGAACGAAAAGCAGGAAGCAATACGAAAAAGAAAGTTAGAACGAATAGAGAAACAAGAACAGAGTTTAAAACACTCTCAAACGGTTCGTAAAACTGCTCCAAAACGAAAGAAGAAGATACATACATGCTCTTCAAGAAGTCACACAGGAAATGGTAAATCAGGAATTTAACACATAAATTTTTCTAAATGTGACGATATACTAATTTCAGATGTAGAAGACGACGATGAGAAAAACATGCCTTGTGATTTTAGGGTAAAATTAACAGAACTTATTACTGTTTATTCTTAAAGATGCAATCATTATTTACCTACTACTTATATAATTTTAAATTCAATCCATATTGAGAAGAATATATTTTACTTTTTTAAAGTGATAATTATAATGATAATAATGTTGGTTGCTCGAGTTCGGACTGAAGATAAACCGGAATAAAACAAAAATGATGATTGTCAACCGCATGTATAACAATTCTCCTGAAACTACAAAAATTGCTAATTGTGATGTGGTGCAATCATACGTTTATCTAGGAGCTTTAATCACGAACAACGGGGGATGTGTCGACGAAGTGAAGAGGCGTATGGCAATATCTAGGTCTGCGATGGACAAGTTAAGGAAAATATGGAGGCATCGCAGCATATACAGAGCCACGAAAATCCAGCTGGTTCGGACACTTGTATTCCCCATATTCTTGTACGCCTCAGAAACGTGGACCCTGCGCGAAGAAGAGAAGAAGAAGATAGACGCCCTAGAGATGTGGTGCTGGAGGAGAATGCTCGGAGTATCGTGGACTGAATTCCGTACCAACGAGTCTATACTTCGAGAACTCGGCATCAAGCAGCGTTTATCGTCTGTGGTGCAGTCTCGTATCCTCACTTTTTTTGGTCACGTATGCCGCCGAGGGGAGGTGGCTATTGAGCGACTTGTGGTCCAGGGAAAGGTTGAGGGTACCAGGTCAAGAGGAAGATCTCCTATGAGGTGGACTGACCAAATAAAAGCTGCAGTAAATGGCTCATCATTACACGAATGCACAAGGAAGGCGGCCATCAGAGATGAGTGGCAGCGTGTTGTGAAGCTTGCCACCAACACCTGAATTGATGACCACGACCACTCTGTCAAGAGTGATACCGACAAAGAAGAATGTTGGTTTTAATATTTATATTCTAAAATAAAGAAATTGTTAAATTAGGTACAATCTTTTAACACAAATTCTTAAAAATATCACCCCTATATTCCTTTTCTAAGGTGGTGGACGCTAAATGGTCCACGGGTGGACGCAATTTGGATTTTGTGGACGCAAAGTGGGTAAAACGCCTTATTCCGGAGTTTATCTATTTAAATAAAAAACAATAGATGTTTCGAACAAAACTGAAAGTTAATGTTAAAATAGACTATATAATGAACACATTATATAAATTTTTCATAGAAATTAGTGCTGGGATATTTTTATTATCGCCGTCAAACTTTCCAACTGCACTAAATGGACGCGAACAGGCGACCTGACCTGAACTGACCCTACTAGATTTGTACTTTGTCCGTTTGGACTTAAGGATTAGAGAAATCCAACCGATCAACAAGGCAACATAAAGAATGATAGTAGGGGAGCAACGATATGAAATACACCAAGCGGGGATTTTTGGATTTACTCGAGCGAGGCAGAATTACATAAGGGGGGCAGGGCAACCTTGCATCTTGAAAATCTATGTATCTCTATGCAGGGCTGAACGTTAAGGAGTTCATGTTACGGTTCTGAGGACGCAAAATATTGATCGGCCGATTTGCATTATGTCAATTTAAAGGTTGTTTTTTTTTATAATCCTTTAGTAATATCATAAATAACAATTTCGTAAAGGTAGCAAGAACGTTATATCGAATGAAAAAATCTTATTGGCAATCCTGAAAATGTTAATCCTTGTTATATAAAAATATTAAGTAAGCATTCTTAGATGATCATTGATTTCATTGTTGAAAAAGAATGAAATGTATCCATTATAATAGGTAATGATGTTAAAATGAGGTGATATTCCAAGAAGCACCATAAAATTGAGTACCTGTTTTGCTTCTTTATCGACTACTGAAGATTTTCCAGGCATATAATTTTCTATTCTTCCGGGTTGGTTTTTGTAAACTTCGTGGCTTGCCCTCGCTGAAGCTAAGGTGCTGTATCTGTAACAATTTGTAAAATTTAAAAAAGAACTTGTTGTTATTTTATATACTTGATCGAGTTAGCATTCAAAGTGGTACTTGCTTGTTGCTTTACCACATCGCACCCTCAGATCCAATTATGTAGCGTTCCTTTTTTTTAAAGAGAATTCTCAAAGTTGCTTCAGTATTTTTTTTAATATTACCAGAATACTTGGGATTATTCCTATAAAACAATAAGTATGTACTTATTGTTTTATAGGAATAATGTTATTGGCGATTTAAAAAAAATATAACGATACAACGCCAATGTTATCTAACATCTGACCCTGGAATTCACATTTTCACCATATTCAACTGTCAAACTATAGATAATTGAGCGTGACAAGATAGAGTTAAATAGCACATCGCAGTGCTCATGCTAGATGGGCAGGTGAGATAGATAATATACCCTATTATCTACATTTGACAAGTTTTGGAAAACGATCTCACGTTACTTACTAATGTTTATGGAGTCCATAAAAAGTGGATATTCATCATTCTCTTGTGTATTTCAGTAAAAATAACTAAATCAAAAACTCAATTTTCAAGTTGCCGCGAAAACGTTTCTCTGGGCACTATGGCGTCTCACTGGTGTGTGACGTCACACGACTGTCATTAAAACCTCAAACGATACAATGTAATGTCACTTTGACCGGAAGTTTACTAGTGTGTGACTTCATTTTAAGCTCCGCTAATCCCAGGCGTTTTCAATCACGTGACAATAGATATGAAAACTATTTCGTGGGTTTTAATAAAATTATGAATATTTTTTCTGTATTATTAGTAAAACCCCCTGCCAATATTCTTTCTAAATACAGATGCTAACAATTAGCACTTTATTTTTAATACTGACAAATACCTTATTTACAAAGACTTATATAAAATTAGAACCTGTTTCATCAGTAAGCCACGAAGAGTGACTTGTTGTTGGGTAGGTAAGTTGAGGGTGGGTAGCAACGTCGCTGTTGTACACATCGCTCCAGGTGCCGCCCCCGCCTTCCTGTAATCTTAGTCATTTATTACTAAAGGCCAGTTACAATAATCAACCTCCAGTAAAAGATAAAGAGAATCTGGTTCCATCTTTTAGCAACGGTTCTTATTACAGTCTTAATAATAAAAATATCTTAGCAACAAAGCAAAAGTAGGCCTAACGCTTACTGGAGTTTGATTTTTAATCGTAACTGAGGAAAAGTAGACACTGACTTGTCGTTGGGCAAGTAAGGTGAGGGCGGGCCGCCGTTGATCCCGTCGTCCTGCACGGAGGCGGTGTGGCGACGCGGGGTGCCAACGTCTTTCTATATTGTTGAACGTATTTCATCACTGAGTAAGGAGTAGATACTGACTTGTTATTGGGCAGGTAAGGTGAGGGCGGGTCGCCGTTGGTCCGGTCGGTCTGCACGGAGGCGGTGCGGCGGCGCGGGGTGGCAACGTCGTTCTATATTGTTAAATGTCTTTCATTACTGAATAAGGAGTAGACACTGACTTGTTGTTGGGCAGGTAAGGTGAGGGCGGGTCGCCGTTGGTCCGGTCGTTCTACACGGAGGCGGTGCGGCGGCGCGGGGTGGCAACGTCGTTCTATATTGTTAAATGTCTTTCGTTACTGAGTAAGGAGTAGACACTGACTTGTTGTTGGGCAGGTAAGGTGAGGGCGGGCCGCCGCTAGTCCTGTCGTCCTGCACGGAAACGGTGCGGCGGCGTGGGGTGGCAACGTCGCTCTATATTGTTGAACGTCTTTCATCACTGAGTAAGGAGTAGATACTAACTTGTTGTTGGGCAGGTAAGGTGAGGGCGGGCCGCCGTTGGTCCGGTCGTCCTGCACGGAGGCGGTGCGGCGGCGCGGGGTGGCAACGTCGCTGTCGTACGCGTCGCTCCAGGTGCCCCCGCCCCCTACTCTCCGCATTCCACCCTCCGGCTCACTCAGGTACCCGGAGCGTGGGTCAAAGTACGCGTACTGACCCTTGTTGCTCACCCGCTGAGGCGGCTCACCTTTGTACCGACAAATCGCAACTATACTACGTTCGTTAGAATAGGCGCCACCTCCATGAGTGCGTGAATCGCGGCGATGCTTAGACATGTCTACAGAATTGATTTATTACTACAGTCATGCCCCATATACTCTCATAGAACGTGCCACCACATGGCGATTTTGCCGCGCGTCGTGTTACCATGAAAATGGAAAAATCCTGACTGAATCCCGGATAAAAGTCTGGACGTCTTACTGTCGCGTTTTCTCACTCGTGGTGGTGGCGTCTTACAAAGTAAAGTATAAACGAGTCAAGCTATATGAAAATTGATCTATACTTTACAATAGGATCCCGAGAAAGACCGAAGCGTAAATTATATCGAATGAAATATTATATTATGTCTTATAACTCGTTTACATCATTTAAGTTTGAAATTTGTTGTAAGCGAAAAGAAAAGTCACAACTAATAGTCTGTTCATTAGTGAGGAGTGCCGAAGGACTCTATTAGTGTTCTGTTAGTATTGCCGCTCCGCTCATCTCCTCTCCGTTCTTATAGAATCACTATTACTTATAAGACAAAATCGTCAAGCGTGTTGTGAGCTTTTCATTTTATGACTTAAACAATCTAGCGAGAAAGTGGTTAGAGCTGCATTTCGATTGAAATCGATGTGATTTTATTATTATGAGTTTTAAGTTATTTGGTGAGACCAAAAAGCTGCACAAGATACAGTGGCCTTATCTCGAATCGAAGGTCAAAGTTCGCTTCAGGGCGCTAAGGCAACGGAGAAAGGAAGTAAAACTGGGAGTTAACTTATGGGTGTTTAGACGACGAAAGCAAGCTTGTGAGCTCCGTTGCGAATTTGATAATAGTGCACAAAATGTTTATACAACTCATGAAAATAAAACAAGACTGAATAGGAATAAACGATCGGTTTGATGCGAACAAAAGGTTTCCTAACATTGTACTAAAAAAATACATCATTGAGAAAAAACATAGCATAAAATTTTGGTTCTTGTATGGGGTCAATTCTCGACTTATGAAAGTCTTAAAGCTATACTATCAATTCGAAATCTACTGCAGGAGACCTTATACTGAGAACGACTGATTAAATTGTATTGAAAATTGAATTCAGGAGAGCTGCTTTTTGCCATGTTTTATTTTAAAGAGAGTCGTAAGATTGAAAAATAAATTCAATACCTATAGAAAATATATATCAAATAAGTATATATTAAACATTTCTTACTTTGTGATATATTTTGTAAAGATATATGGCAAGCCTTACAGTGCTTACTTTGGGGCTAGGCTAATTGGTATGTGTTGGAAACATTTGTTTATTTTAATTTATATTATATTGTCAATTAAGATTCGTAGAGAAGTAATAATATCTACATACAGATTTTATAAACAAATGCCATAGTGGCCGAAACAACAAAAGAGTTTAACACGTTCAACAATGTAACTACGATTAAATGACTGTATCTGTATCTGTTCATTGAATTACAAATGGTATTTGAATGATATGAACAAAACACGGCGTAGCTAGTCTATACTTACTCCTCGTTTATGTACATTTGTACCCCCCTCGTAAGGGGGGTACAAATGTACATTAATGAATTCTAATTCTGTGTTACGCGATTTCTAAATGAACTGAATACTCTTATTAACATCATATAAGTATTTTAGTACCTAACTAGAGTTAATATCTATGACAGCCACGTAATGTTAACTGACACAACTAAGTGGATATCGTAATTAGAATTAATGAAGCAAATAATATTATACTTTATTATACAATTAACTAATACGAATGAGAAAGCATATTCGGTTAAAAAAGTATGAATTAATTATGTTAGGCAGCCACCGATGGAAAATAATAAATTTGGAAAAGATAAAATGGCGATAATCACCTCGGCGACTTTTGTATCGTATTGTCACATAATCGTCTGAAAAAGAAAATGTATAAATACTTTGTGATGTGTTTTCGACATCAATACAATGTTCGATTTAAGAATTCATTAAAATAATGGCGTAAGCTGTACGTATGGCTCTTTCAAAATAAAAAATCTTGTATATGTTTTTAATGAATTATAGGCAAACTCACCGTCATATTTGTTTTTGTGAATAGTGTCATACATCTTTTTGTACCATCTCGAAGGGTCTTTGACCTCCTGAAAAGGAATATTCAAATTAACGAGAAGTTAGCACTTTTCGAATTTATTTAAATTTGACATAATTCTCTCCTTACACTCTCTATAAAAGGGCATGAAAAGGAAACACATCTGCAAATTAAGCTCTCTATCTTTGTTTTTCTTCGATATAATGTTTAATTTAAGATTTCATTAAAATAATGATGTAGGCTATATATTGTATCTTCCAAAATATATATTTTCGTCACGTCAAATATTCAAACAGGATATAGATATGAAATTAACAAAATATATGGCGTCGTCATTTTGGTTTCTTAATTGACGCGTGCTGTAACAGTTAACTACTTAACATGGCTTTAATGGGATTATCATCGTTGGATGCCAACTACAATTAATTGAGTATCGTAATCACAGAACGGAGTGCGACTGGTATGTAGTCCTTTGTGGTTGGTCCGATTCCTTCCACTTTACTTTAGGCACTTTATTGTGATGCCAAATACAATTATGAAGCAACAGTATCGTGCTAACAGATCTGAGTGCCACCGGCATTCCTTCCGTAGAGGTTGGTCTGATCCCTCCACTTTTCTCAGGGCACTTCATTGGGATACCAAAATTAATTTGAAAGCAACAGTATTGTACTCACAGATCTGAGTGCGACCTGCATTCCGACCTTGGTAGTTGGTCCGATTCCCTCTACTTCTCTCGGGGCACGTTACTGGGATGCCAAATACAATTGTATAACAAGAATATCGTACTCACAGATCTGAGTGCGACCGGCATTCCGTCCTTGGTAGTTGGTCCGATTCCCTCCACTTTCCTCGGGGCATCGGCCATCTTCCGCGTCCCTCCGCGCTCGTAGTCGCTTCGGTCCGCTTCACTTCCGCTTGCGTACTCCTTGCGTAAGGCATGCACTGGACAAACAGGTACTGTATTGAAACAAAGCATTAAAAGTCCTTGCAAAAGTTTATCCTGTTTATGATTAAGTTGTGGAATGAGCTCACTGTTGAGAATCATCACAATCAGTCTATTCATGTCCCGCCGGAGTACAGGCCTTTTCTATGGATGAAATAGGGAGATTAGGACCACGACCCATCTCGCGTGCTCAGTGGGTGTCTGTTGGTGCCAAATACAATTGTAACTAACGAATGCAGCTGGATCAAGGACAAACGGCTTAACGTGTCTTCCGAAGCATTAAGGAGCTCGAGATAGTAAGTTTTTAGTCATACATAAAATCACTGGCCATTGCGTTGACACGTTGAAGTTGATTTACTTCCACGATCCTATGATCGTGGACATACCAAGCAAAGCGCTAACCACCTGTGCCATTGAGTTCCTCCACTCTCAATCGCCTATAACTGGGAGTTGGTTTTTCAATTGACAATCTTTTTAGCTACAAATTAATCATTAGGCTACAACAGTGTTTTAATACCAGGGTGACTTAACTTTGTATCTGTATCATTTTTATAGTATTTTACGCAGCGCTTTGAGATTTCGTGCATTATCATAAGGCTATTATAGCCTTCGAACACACGGGGAAGAAGTTGTTATGTTAAAATTGCAGGTTTCGAAAAACACTCCTAACCTGGTGTTTTACACCCATTGTAGTCAGAATAGGTTACTGACTTTGCTATGCTATTTTTAAATTAGATTATGCTTCAACTGATTAACCAATAGAAGCAAAATATATTAGTGGCATCGGATGAAGAGTCGACAGAGGAGGTGGACTCTGAAGAAGTGGATATTCGTGAAGATGCACAAAGTGTCGACGATGATACTAGTTCCAATTAATCTGAAGCTCCTTTGTACTCGTAAATGGAAATTGATGAGCCTCATCCTCTGCCAGATGGAAGATCTCATTGTGATTCCAAAATTTCATGTTTTTTTTATAAATCATATGTCAAATAAAAGATAGACGCGTTTTTTAAAATATAAACACTAATATTTTTTTAATTTCTCAAAAATTACCATGACTTTTGAGAACCTTTGTTTAACAGGTAATTTTAAATGTTTTTTTTTTTAATTTTACTTTTGAGTCCTTTGATATTCAATGAGAAGGATCCATTGTGTAAGTAGGTAGGTACATAATAATAAAAAAAATGTTTATATATAAATAATTTACTCCTATGATAAAATTCGGGTGTTTTGCACCCATTATAGTCCATACAAATTCATGACAAAATTGAGTGAGTGGTATGTACGCCGGGTTTCAACGCCTACCCCAAAAGTCCCGGGTTCGAATCCCGATGGGGAAATTATTAGTATGAATACGAGCATTTGGACCGAAATATACTTGTATATGTATTCTATCCGTTACCTTAGTATCCCATTACACAAGCCTTTCAGTGCTTACTTTGGGGCTAGGCTAATTGTGGTGTGAGTGTTAGAAATACTTATTTATTTATTTTCCTTTCGCGCAACCGAATTTCATTCAAGCTGGTATTTTACCTGGGTCTCCGGGTGGCGGCGAAGGTCTGTCCCGAGGCAGGCGAGCACTGTCCCTCTCTTGCTGCAAGTAACTCGACACGCGGGGTATTTGACCCTCTGAAAGCCAAAACGATTAATGAAATCGTGAAACTGATAAGGTAATTAGATAATGTAATAATAATGTAAAACCTTTCTAATTAGTAAATTAGGACAAGTTGCTGCTAAGTACCTATTAGACGTAAATCAATTGGCCGTAATTGCCTTTCATTTGTAGAGACCCTTACCATGCTAAAAATATACTGCGCCCCAACTAAGATCAAAATCAAGTGATTTATCACTTAGAAGCATGGCTATAGTTAAAACTTCCAAGATGAACAATATCTTTAACTAAATAAGTATAAAATGAAGACAATAGTAATAAAAAAGCGAACCTCTTATACACATACACTTTGTTATAAATTAGTACCTAGTTAACGTTTCAACAACTCCAGGCAAAGGTGTTGCAAATCCTGCTTTTATAGTGAACCATTAAACACAGGGGTACCAATTATTAACAACGGTCGGCTAATAGATAACTATAAAATGTCATGCCATATCCGAATCATTAGGTTCTTAAACTCCCATAGTACGTATCGACCAGATGTCTGTCATTACGCAGTATTTTGAAGTCGAACTGACGATTGGCCGACGGTGCTTGTATGCGATGCGGACCCTCGTCAAACCTTTGTCACGGGGATTTTTATGGCCGTCGCTGCGTAAATTGGAAGGAAGATGACGTTTCTTAGCAGTTCCGATTCCATGTGACAACAGCATTATTGCAATGACGCTTTTTATTAAACACTAGTGGCCGCCATTGCTTTGCTTTGGTGAAGACAATAGTTTTTGTTCTAATATATAACTTATGACCAGTAGCGGCGCTAGACCACATGTGAACGTCGGCGACATCAAGTTCGCGAGGCCTATTTTACTTCGCAGTAAAAAATCGTCAAATTAAGTGAGCCAAATTATAAAATAACGTATGAGTAAACGAGTTTTATTGTTGATTATCAATGATGACAAAAAAAAATTAAAAAATAGAAATTTAATTACAAAAATAGTGTTTCCAGCAGATGATTCTGAATACCCGTAAAGTACTACTCGCTTCCATCACGCACGTGTTCGAAATTAATAAAAGTCATTATCATCTGCTTCGCTTTTTCCTAGCCAGGCCAGGAGAAACGAAAATAAATAGGTAACTTGTAAAAATTTTTTGCCCCCTGAGGGGGGGGCTCAGGCGCGAGGCCCTCAGCGGTGGCCGACGTCGCCAACGCCTAGCGCCGCCACTGCTTATGACTCTCACAAATAACGTTTTAATGCTTAAATAATTTTCAAAATTGGTCCAGTAGATAGAGAGATTACCCAACAACGTCACAATTCAAACTTTACCTCTTTATATAATAGTATAGAAGCATAGATATAGTAACTTTTATTGTAATAGAAATGTAAAAATAAAACAAATTAATATTCAACGTAACCTACAATAAGAGTTAATACTTTTGAACAGACATAGGGTGCGGCCAGAGTGCACTCAGATTCAGATTTAGATTCAGATTCCGAAAACAAGCGCGAGAAATAAACAGTGTAGTCTAAGCAGGTTGCCTGCTTTTTCTCGCGTTTTGTTTTCTGAGTTTGAATCTGAATCTGAATCAGGAGTGCACTCTGGCCGTACCCATACTCCTTAAGCAGGTGTTTACGAGTAGGTATATTTAAAAGTGTTTTTAATAACTAAAGGACATTGAGAACTTTTGTTAGAGGAGCTCGATGACGCTGGTGGAAAGCGCATTCGGACTGAGATCGCGAAAGTTAAGCAACTTTCGCAATGGTCGGTTATTGGATGGTTGACCAAAACTTATTATTTCGAGATCCGCCGTGCTGCGGAAGGCATGCTAAGCCGTTGGTCCCGGCTGCATCTCCAGTCGTTAGCACCCACCAATCCCCACAGGGACCGTGCTTGTGCTCCAGCAGTGGTGACATTAATAGGCTGGCGATGATGATGATGAGCAGACTTCGCTGACACAAAAACCTATATAAAAGGGATAAAGTAGATAATTGTATCTATCCATTGAAATAGGTTTTGTTGGTGTTTGAACTTTTAGATAAGCGGGGCAAATTTTTTTCCGATGTCTTTTGACTAAAATTATTTAACCGATTTGAGGACGTTTCGGAGTCAATTTAGGTTTTATGTTTCCAAATTCGAGATAGATGAGCAACAGAGTTAAGTTAACACTGAAAACGGCTTTCTAACCTTAAAAAACTATTTTATTCAATTACTGATGATGTGTGCAAAAATGCAATAATCTAAGATTACTTCATTATTTTTTAAAGTAAAAGAGTTTTTAATCCGTTATGTCCAGAGTTCTGAATTTTCAATATAGTCGTCAAACACTTTTTGGAAAATGACCATGCAATGTAACAGCTTGAGATGATGAAGTAAGAATAAAATTGTGAATAAATTGATTGGGTCTTGAGCTTTTCAGAAAGGTTAATAAAGATTTCAAAGTACACCATAAGATAATTTTTTGCTATAAAAACATTGAACTTTGTAATAACGGGTCTACTACCTACCTACCTTTTATCGCACAAATGTTAATGTCATAATATTATTATGCATATTAGCGGATAGCATCAACTTCGTTTCGCAAAAATACCATTTGGCATTCACTCATTAATAAGGAATTTTAACTCTTAATTTTGTAGGCCAGAATCATCTTTAGGCATAAATTTAATATTCACTATAATTGAAAAGCAGAACAATCATTTGGCAAAAGGTTCACAGTCAGAATTGTGTTCTGGTCGACAAACATATAACTTTTCCTTGTTTATTTATCTATTAAAGCAGGTGGGTGGTAAGTTTTGGTCATAACACTAACTTAACCCAACCTGACCTGATCACAAACACTGATTATGCTTTATCTTATATATAAAATTCTTGTGTCACAATGTTAGTCCTCCCAAACGGCCTGACCGATTTTTATGAAATTTTATATGCATATTTCGTGGGTCTGAGAATCGGCTACTATCTATTTTTCATATCCTTAAGTGATAATGGTTGTCCACCTGTAACGTACCTAGTGTTGTGAAACCTACAATGCGCCTTCGCGCCATATTTCAAACTATTGGGTATTGTAACGTAGTGTTCTCATATGGGTTAGGAGAAATGTTATCCCAGGAGTTAATAGAACACTATGTTACACACCCCTAAAATTTTTTTTGGACAATATATTTTTTTATATAATATGGTATTAAAAAATACATACAACCCTAAATTTTCACTTTTACCACCTGCCCCTATTTTTATGGTACGAAGTTCGACGGGTCAGCTAGTTAAAATATAAATTATGCTTAAGAAAGTTATGCATAATAATGTTTGGCCAAAAATCTTCAATACCAAAAGTATACCATAGTCAATTCGGACATATATCAATGCCAAACAATGAATATATAAAAAATGTCGCACAAATATTCGTTCAAAGAAGATTATGCCAAGTGTGTTATGCCAAATGAGTTTCGGAGCAAAAAGATTCTGCCAGCTAGATGGAACCCTGTTATAACATATTCTTATTTTTGTAGAGCATCTTGTTTATCGTGTTACCAGGCTGGAGATCAGTAACTCCGATTTCATTAGGTACAATTGGAGGGTAAATTTTTCACCCCATTGTACTGTTTTCATTAACGATGATAATACAAAGAGGGCAATTATCGGATTCCCCAGCGATCTGAAGCGTCCCGGGGCCATCCGTACTAAGCCAATTAATGGAAGTTTGTCCGCAATTAGCCGTCATTTCGACGGCGTGTTGCCGGAATAAATTATAAAGTTGACGTTTCTGAAACATTGAAATGAGATTTTTCGGTTGCTTAATTTTTTGCTATTATACAAAACCTGGGCCTATTTAGTTACTGTTTTGACTGATAATAATAGTTATATTCAGATTATTGAAAGTTGATGTAATTTAAATTTGAGTTAAATTAATATAAAAGCGCGATATTCCAGTAAATAGCTTAGGCCGCATTTTCTCATCGATAAATAAATTTGACTATACTTAAATGTAATTAAAAAAATAGCCATTTGACAAAATTTAGCACATTTACTATGCATTTGACGTAGCATTAACTACCTGTAGTCAAATTTTACTATTGGTGAAATAACGCGTCCTTAGTTGTTTGTAAGGAAAAAAGAATATTCGGGCGTAGATTATAATAAATTTTTACACACATACAGAATATGAGTTGAAGTAAGTAGGCATATCTAGTATCATTCCGGGGTTGGTAAATAGCGGGCGCTATATCTAAATGTTGAGAGCGAATGTGTAATGATTGCGGGACGTGCAAAGAATATCTCGCATCTAGAGTCGGCCATAAAACGTACGATTATGAATGGCAAATCCGTTTAACCTTCTTAGAATCAGTCTGATATGATATTATGTAACCCAGACTCCGCGAGCTTGAATCCGTGGGTGTCCACATTTTATTATGTAACGTGACAGCAATCTTTGTTTTAAAAGTTAATTTTATGAAGTCGCTACTCTTATCGACTTATTCCAGTTTAGATTGAAACGTCTCTCCGCCGTAATTGACATTTATTAGATTTGAAATTAATCGTACTTCATTTTTACTTCATAATACATATTTAATGTCGTGTGTGTTTTACTTAGCGTAGTTATTGTGAATTTATAATACAAATTTGTCTTTCAAACAAAGAAACAATATAATCCTAAATTACATGGGTTTAAGTCTTTGAAATTGATGTCGGGAATAAAGAAGGTATTCGGAATAAATGGCCTTACCAAATAGGGTCAATTTAGGGTACCCATGAGTTTCATTTAATTGGCTATAATATTTTAAAGACCGTTTGCATTAGCGCCAAAGTTTTTAATTCAAGTTAGGGCTACCTATATAATTAAATAAGTTATCTTTTGCCAACAAACCACCATTTAATTTAGTGAATATGTATTATGATTTTTTACAAACTGCATTTATTGTGAAAATAAAATAAATAAATTACATCGGTCGTCTCGGGTAAGTTCGGAAGATAGCAGTAGAAATTATGCCCGGGATTCGTTATTTTCATAATTTATTTATAGCTGTGTTGTGTATTTATTTTGTGACAGCGTACTATGCATGGAGCAAATACAAAGTTATTGTAAATACAAAGTATTTGTATTTGCTCCGTGGAGCTATGTCACCCGCTCCCAGCGTTTTTATTAAAGCCTTAAGAAGTGAAAACTTCATCATCATTACCAACCTATATAGGTTCTCACTGCTGGGGCGTAGGCGTGATCTATAGATTGTATAGGGAGCCTTTAAACTACCACGCGGGTCCAATGCGGTTTGATGAGTGTCAACGCTTGCAGATACAAAAGTTTAACGTGCCATCCGAAGCACGGAGAAGTTACTCAAGTTTTGTGAACACTTGACGACCTCCGTGGCTCGAGTGGAAAGTACAACGGTTTTCAAGGTGTCGCCTACTCAGTGGTCCCGGGTTCGAATCCCGGTTTATGTGATTAATACAAGCATTTGTACCTAAGTCATGGATGTTACTATGTATTTCTAAATAATATATTTTACTTATACATGTATCAATCTATTTACTCTACCCGTTACCCTAGTATACCATAACACAGCCTTACAGTGCTTAATTTAGGGCTAGGCTAATCGGTGTGTGTATTATAAATATATATATATTTATTTACTACCTTGTGCCTTTTGCAGCAACCGTTCTTCCAACCATTGCAGATGCAACGGCTTCGCGTGCCTTTCGAGGCACGGAGAAGCTGCTACTCAAGTTTTGTAGACACTTACCTCGTGCCTTTTGCAGCAACGTGACTGTAGGGTTCTGTGCTTTAGGCAGGCGGCTGGTGCTGTTAGAGCTCAAGGAGCTGAGTCCAGTGACAGGTGCGCTGTGAGACGTGCGCAGTCGCCCTTCGCTCTCGGAACCACTGGTGCAACCGTTCTGCTCAAAGTTCTGAAATATGTACAACATGGGATTGTAAATTATATAAACTTGGTATTAGTGAAAAAATAATATCTACGTTAGGAATACTATATATTTCCGGAGAGAATAAGAAAAAAAAACTATGTTGAAAAGATTAATTAGAGGATAGAAGTTTATTCCTTTGTTTAAATACACTTTTAAGGAAACGGTCAGTTAATACAAAACTATGAAATCAGCCATAGTAAAATCGTTTAGTTATAAATATTAGTTTCACCATGTTTTTCAAACCGAAATGATGAAGGACTACGGTAATCTTTTTATTTCTATGCCTAGCCTGAGGATACTTGAATCTAAGAACGGCGAACAGCATCGATGTGTATATTGTCCAAACTAATAAACAGTTATCGTTCATGATACTTCTTTGCCAAAAGCAGAGTGAAAACAAGCGACTGCTGAGTGATCAAATTACACGTTAAGTCGTAGTAAATCATAATAAAACTACGAAAACTTTCATAAAGGAAATCCGTAGTAACGTACACGCAGTGGGCACACAATAATTAAATGGCTACAAAATGGAAATTCAAGTGAAACAAGATGAAACAAACTGAATATTAAAGTAAAAAAAAAAACTCTAGTTTTAATTCAACGTCGTGATTAGTTCTAAGACAATTAATAAAATATATTGACAACGACATTTGCATGGAACATTACGGCTCTCGCGTCGCGTCCTCTCGCGTTTTGTATGGAAAAGAAAGTATTAGGAATTAATTACCTATGAATGAAGAATTATTTTTTGCATGTATAAATCATACTTTCAATAAAAAGATGAAATTAGCTGATTATCATCCAATAGAATTTCCTTAAGAAAATACATTTTCATAATGTCGTAAATTTTTACTTCAGACTTGTTCTTCCTTAAAGTTATTTTTTTCCTTTTAGGGTATAATTTTGGTGTTAGATAATTTTGTTAAACTTTCTTCGAGTTTGTACGTTGTTAAAATATTTACAAGAAGTAACTTTTTGGTCAGTTCCAATATTTCTGCGAGAAACTGAAAAACTTCTCTCTCTTTGATGTTTTTTTTTAAATTGTCAGGGCGTCGGAGTTCCTTGGAAACCTAAAATCAGTATCTATAGAAGATACATATTTCAAGTAAACTGCCCATTGGAAGCAGAATTATTAATACTGGTTATGATGAACATTTCAACGGGTGTAATTCCAATTGCCATAGGCTCTGTGGTCTAGTAGGCACCTCTCCTTTGTGTATCATGTTGCTGCTGCTCCTTAATGTTGTAGGTAACCATTCAGATGTTATATCTCCTATCTCAATATAGTCGGTGATAAAAGAAGTATTCTCCTAAAGTGGACACTATGTGAAGATGACCAGAGAATTTGTATTGTCCTTTCTACTCAGCGCACATACAGGCGGGAACTGTAATTCCTCCTTGTCTTGATTTTTTCACTGCCCCAAATTTACACCAGGCAGGTAGGACCTACTCAAAGTAAAGGAAGCTAAAGGATTTCCTGTATACTTTAGGCGAGAATCCAGCACTGTCAACGTAACTGAGTCGACGCCGGAAGAGTAAAGGTGGCATGAAAGGTCATCACTTAAAAATTGAACTCTATGAATGCGACCATACGTCGACGGGGTTGTAGGCGGTGTAACAGCAGATCTTAGAAGTTCTTATTTAAATGAAGCTCCTCAGATATCTTTTATCTGTTACCCAAAATATACGGCCGGCGGGTGGGCGGCGTCTGCTCGAAGTGTACGGGTCGGATGGAGTTTGGGGCGAGGGCCCTGCGCTGTCCGGCGACCACGCGGGCGCGGGGCATAGGAATTGTAACAGCAGATCATATATAAGTTCTTATTTAAATGGAACTTTTAATTTCTTACCCCAAATTTACGGCGGGCGGGCGGTGTCTCTTCGAAGTGTACTGGCCGGAAGGACTTGCGCGGAGTTTGGGGCGAGGGGCCCGCGCTGCCCGGCGACCACACGGGCGGCGGTGGTGGTGGCGGAGCGCCGGGACTGCGCGGCGCCGGCGCGGGACCCGGCGCAGGTGGAGACGGTGCACCCGGCCTCCACACCGCTGCAAATGTAAACATATACTATAGCCATTATATTTTTTTTGTTTCCTCCCAGGCGTGGGAGTGGCTGTGAAATCCTCATGGATATTCTACTGCCGGCTGCAGGGTTATGTCATAATGGTTAGCCTCTTTAAATTACCTCTGCTGCGCACTGCTGGGGCACATACATGCCTTCTCCATGGACGGAATATTGATATAGTAAAAGCGAAAGTTAGGTTTTCAATTACTGTAGCTCTGTAATCTATTTAATTATTGTGTGTTTAATGACTTTGTCTCGTATGTAGTGTAGCTGAGCAATATTAACATTTTTAATCTAATATATAAAATTCTCGTGTTACGGTGTGCGTAATTGAACTACTCCGAAACGGCTCCACCGATTTTTGTGAAATTTTATTTGCATATTCAGTAGGTGAAGGTCTGAGAATCGGACAACATATATTTTTCATCCCCCTAAATGTTAAGTACCCTTAATTTTTTTTATAGGACAATTTTTTTTGTTTCTATTTTTTGTGCATACAAAATACATACAACCCGAAATTTTCACTCTTCTACCACCAACCTCTATTTTTTTTGGCGGTACTAAGTTCGCTGGGACAGCTAGTATATTATAAAATTTAAAAACCCGATTGCCTTCTAAAAAATAATTGAACTAAAATGTAAAAAATATTTTAGTTACATTTATGAAACGGCAGTCTAGGTTTTTAGTTATTTTATTTCTTTTTACGTGCACTCAACAATTAGTTTTAGTGCTAGTAAATTTTTTATGTGCTTGAAGTAATCAATGTTTTTTCTAGTATTTATCACGTTTTACACGTAAACCCGTTTATGAATGCTACATTCGTATATATTTGAGAGAGTTACATTAAGACTCCTCACTTTTAAATGATACCCATTTTGTTATTATATAGATGTTTTTTATTTGACATAAATAATTGAAATTTTGTCATTGTTGTTATTTCATTTATTTTATATCCGCCCAGGATGGTGAAAGGATTCCAATAATACCACACACATCTAAATCTGCTCAGAAGTTTAGAAGTTATGGTGGAATAAACAAGCATAAGAAAGATAATCCATAGATACATGAACCCTGAAAACATTACTCTTTTTAGGCAGTCGTGTAAAAAGGGTAGGTATCAAATAAGTGTTATGGTACTTGGCTACTATTGCCGCTACACAGTACGATTTTAACATAATATGCATGCGTGATGTAAAAACAGTGTCCGAGAGTTTTTTAGCTCGACCCAAAAAATTGGATATGTATCCTATTACAGCCAAAGAGAAAAAAAAAAATAATGACTCATTGGTTAGGTTGCACATTCAGGGATTTTTTGGTACGACCGGTCACTGAAGGATGTCATCAAATTGAATATCTCGACTATCCCCGTGTTTCATACTAGCTTGTTGGTAAAAATAACACAAAATCCAATTCAAAACGTAAAAATCTTGCATCTACTTTTATATGTATACCAAAACTAACACGGTACAGGATGTTTTGTGTTGACTCGGGCGTGGCTTAATCGCTTAGTTTATTAAGGCTGTGACGCGATCACAGCTCGTGAATCTTCGTATGTTTACACTATTCTAGGGTTGGTGAATCTTTTTCGTGTATAGAAAGAAGGGTTGGCAGGGTAGGTAAGATGTGTATAGCAGTTCGTCGTAGCTACAGTTTCATGACAATAACAAATCTATTATAATATATAAGGTTGTAAATGATGAGTGCTATCATTGCTATAAGAAGAGAAATTTTATAGCAATCTAAGGTTAACTAAGTTTAAGATGAACATCGCACGAGCCGCGAACCTGATAATATTAAATGTGTGATTACTGATGACAAAGTAATATACCTTATATCGTTTCTACTTTACTTAAGTAGATACATAATTTAGTAGTCAGTGTGTCAACTAACACAAAAATTATCTACTCGATATAATTATAGGTAATTTAACTAAACTTAGCTTATTGCATTGCGTAACCTAAGATTCGACTATTACATGATTAACTCATATTTCTAAATGGAAAATAAGTTTAATATCAATCCTGTTATTTAATTATTTAAATCATGTAAGAAATAATTATTGCATGACTTAGACCATATCTGCGGTTCTCCATCCCTGTGTTACATTTAGGCTGTTGAGTAGGTACCCTACAGATATGTTAGTACGACAGTACGTACGCGCATTTAATCAAAATGGAAATGGTTGCGCTGTTGACATTGTAACATTTACTCTCATGCCTATTAAGGATCGCGACGCGGCGACGGCTTTGTCGCAAGTCAAGTATTAGTAAAATTTACTGTGAAACTAATTGATTGATTTACCTACTTAGACGAAATCACTGCCTTTATGCCTTGATCACACAAACCGAATAAACGGGCGAGACAGTAAAATGTTTCTCGGCCGAGACAGTGATGGAAGTTATGCCTTGATCACACGTACCGAATAAACGGGCGAGACAGTAAAAAGTTTCTCGGCCGAGACGGTGATGGAAATTAAAAACTCATGTAAGAACACCCGGCCATGCACTCGGCGCTAGTGTGATCAGGGTATTAAAAATTTATGTAAGAGCGCTCGGCGTGTTTATATGTACCGAGTACTGGGCCGAAAGCACTGTCTCGTTCGTTTGCTTGGTACGTGTGATCATTGGCTCCACGGGTTAGGGGATTGGGTTCAGGATGGCAAGGTGAAGATAGCTTAAGGATAAATTATTTGTCTCGTACATAAAAATCGTGTGTCAACGGACAGGAAAGCTTGAAATCTTGCTGGAATGTTTGATAACCTGTTCTTCTAGCAACACTTGGTAAGAAGTATATAATTTTAGTAATGTTACTGAAATATAACCAATCACGATAGAAGAGCCGTGTGTGGGACCTTGAACGATGTACCTTTGGAGTTGTAAGTATTCTTCAGCATAAATATTACTCACAAAGTTACATTTACATACGCTACTAGATGTTGTAGGTTTATTCCACGTTGTCGTGATTTATTTTATTTCCCAAATCTATCGATAGTCATCTTGTATAACCTGTCGATAATCTTATATATACCCGAAAAAGTATAGACACGTACTTTTCGGAAATTTTCAAGTTGGTCGCTAAAAAGAAAATTACTCAATTCCCTTTTCAACACTGTGGAAAAAAAACTGTTATTATAAGCACCAAATGGATATGTTATATGGTATTCGTCACCTATGTCATTAATAATTTAAGAATGTCTAATTAATAATTGTCCAACATGCGTACAGTAGAAAAAGTCACATATAAAATATAAATGCCGAAAACTCAGTATAGTTTTATGTCGTACTACTATTTCAGTAGCGCGTTTCGGATTCCGGGGCTACCCGCCACGGTCGCCCAATAATTGGCTATTTATCTTAAAGGTAACATCAAAGTATTCGAGTTCAAATAAATTAAAAGTGAGTCCAAAGCGGATTCAATTAAGGAACGAGTGAGAAATAACCTAACTGCTCAAAATTTTGTATAAACGAGAATTCAGAATTCTTAATGTTGTGCCAGAAACTTTTACCTATGCAAAAATTTTTTAAGGCAACTTTTTTTTAGACTCGCCAGGGTTTATGGGATGAGTAGTAAGTGCGAACGAGACAAGGATTCAATTAAACGTAAATTTCCATGTATTTTACGGGTCTGTACGGAATTTTTGAAGTGAAAACTTCTTTAGCGGCGTTGTACACTTTTTTTTGTATGGTTAGAAAATGTTAAACTCGCATCAGGTTAAACACGTGGGCTGATCGCATCATGACACACAATCAAATTGGAAAGGTTTTTGACTTACAATATATTGGACGAAACAGTAATATTTTCACGTAGCAGCTTTATTGCGAAGAAAGTGCATTTTTTTACAATAGATGTCGCTAGGTGCGCTTAAATGTGATTCATGTAAGTTGATTTCTTTACAATAGATGTCGCTGAGTGCGCTGAAACGTGATTCATGTAAGTTAATTTTTCTGTGAGATAAACTTTTTTAATGTACCTAGTATAAATTGTCATGTTTGTGTATGATAGCCCAACAAATAAATATTGTATTGTACCACATACATGATAGTACTTTTATACTGATAATTAAAGCAATTTGTGCAAAATTATTAACTAACCATTCCAATGCACAACGTTAATATTCAAGTTTTCACTTCTGCAGGCACTCCCGGAGTGCAATCCGTGTTTTTTTTACTATACAGAAACTGTACCACAACCGGTACCGTTTGTATATAAAAAAACCGTATCAATAGCAGGTAACTTATTTGGTCACATTGGATTGGAATATAAATATTTCAGCATTCAATTTCACTATTTTGATATTAAAACAAGTAATTGGTTTCGAATAAAATCAACAAAGTTATATCAAAGTGGATGGAACGTACGAAGTTATGTCAAGGTAACTCTATTTTCTATAATAAGGAAAATACATTTTCTGCGGTGAGCATTGAAAACATTACGATTGCACAATACAAAATCAATATGAAATATTAAAAATATTTAATGTGGTTTCCTGATATATTAGAGATACGAAACGGAATATACGGATAAATTTTGTGAAAAAACTGATAAACATATCAATTAATTTTTAAACTTACTTTATGTTGACGCTGTAGATACCTTTCTTCTGGCGCCACAGTGTTTGTAAAATAACTCCTCTGAAACGGCTTGACAAATTCTTATCCAATTTTGTGTGTATTTTTAGTAAGATATCTTATAGGACGTAGAGTATTTCTCATACCGCTAAGTGATAAGGGTTGTCCACCCCATTATTTTATATTTTTTGGCCAATCATAATTAAAAAAAATATTGGGCATCAAGAAACACATACAACCCCACATTTTCATTCCCCTACCACCAAACCCAAAATTAAGGGCGCTACGAAGTTCGCTGGATCAACTAGTAACATAGTAATAACTAGCAAACCAGTGAACCAAATGTTCACCAAAAAAAAAAATGTATTTAATTAATTGAGAACTTCGGAGATTTTGTGTGCTTTCGTTTGAAATA